AGTGGTATTAAGTATGCAAGTAATAGTAGGTGTATAAGTATAGTACTGTTGTTGTGTGCTGTGTCTTCAGTTCCGACCCGTGGCAGCCCTGTGTGGCAGAGCACAGCTGCCCCGTGGGCCTGCCTGGGCTGTGATCTTTACAGAAGCCGATTACCAGGTGTTTTCTAATGCGGAGAGCTGGTGGGTTGGAACTGCCGGCCTTCGTTTGGCAGCTGAGTGCTTACCCATTGTGCCACCAGGCCCCTTAAGCATCGCACTAATGGTGGGTAAATAACTATATGTTAATACAGCCAAGCAGCAGACTCTCACCAGTTGCGGTGGAGATGATGGGGCACCAGCCAGTATTTGTTCTATTGTTGGGGGCCTCCATGAGTGGGAGCCAGCTCCTTAGCACCCAACAATAACAACACTGTGGACACCCGCAGAGTGACATCAAAGCCAGGTCCTCACACTGTATGGACTCCAGGCTGCCCCACGTCCCCGGGCCGCTCAGCCAGCGCCCCCAGGTCCCTGGGCTCTTCCCGGCCTCTCCCCAGCCCTGTGATGTTTGCTGCCTGGGTTCTGCCTTGCCCCAGCCCCTCCCCTTAACCACACAGGCCCCTCCCAGCCACATGGCTGGCTCCCCAGGATGTGGGGTGGACAGGCAGGGATGGGGACACCTGTGGAAGGGTGGGGCTCCTGCCGGTCTGAGCTACATGGGACAGGGGTCATGGGTTCCCGTGATTCTCTTGTTTTAAATACAGGGAATTTGAGACCAGTGTCGAGCACAAGTCAAGGAGGTCGTCTTTATAGGGTTCTCTCTTTGCCTGCCTGCCTTTGCGACATCTGCTACAAACACGTTTTCAGGCGTTTACACATCTTCTAGACTCACTGTTGGGAACATGACCTCTCAGAGAAGCTCGGGGGGGGATGGGTCCCCAACAGGACAGGGGCAGAGAGAGAAGCCACCCTCTGCCAGGCTAGTCTGAAGCATTCACTGAGTACACATTCCCCCGGCCAGGTGTTTACAGAGGTGGTGTTTTTCAGTCCTCAAAATGAACCTGTGATGTATGGATTATCGTCCACTTTTATGGTGAGGATCTTGAAGCTGGGCAGTTATGTGAGGCTGAGCACACGGCTTCCTCATCAATAAACCAAATAAACGTCAGTCTTTCCTATCAGGTGAGCAGCAGTTGTACGAGAGGTACGACAGGGACTTAAAGCTAGCTGCTTCTAGGTTTACACACCTGATCTCATGTTCCTGTGACAACCTTGGAGGCAAAGCTGATGGCCCTCGCAGCCCCCTACTGCCTTTTTCTTTTCAGAGAAGAAAATTGAAGCTCAGAGAGGGCAACTGTCTTACCTAAGGTCACACAGCCCAGCAGGGTCAGGGCCAGGAAAGGGGATTGGGTTTCAGAAGCACCACATGGGTGCTTCCTGCAGGGAGGAGCTGGGATTCGAACCCAGGGCTAGTCTTGCTGAGTCAGTGCGAGTTTAATATGCCCGGCTGGGGCCCCCTGGGGGCTCTGGGTGGCTGTTTTCCATGCTGGCACCTGGCCATTGCCACCTGGTGTTTGCCGTTGCGGTGAAGGGAAGGTCCTGGGAGTGAGGGCAGCCAGGCAGCCTCTAGGCACGGTGGTGCCAGGTGTGCCCCAGAGAAAGCAGTGTCTGCCCACGGCTAGGAGCATTAGGCACATGTTGGCAGGTGGCCCCAGGCAGAGATGCTTCTTGAGAAAGGTGACAAGAGGGTTCTGGGGAGAGGTGTCCAGCCAGATGGAAAGGCTGCCCACTCGGGGAAGGGGGGGGTGTCAGGTAGACCTTCTGAGGGTTGGAGGCCTCCAGGAGCGGTGAGAGAGCTTTCCAGGGTTGGCAGCTGGAAGCCAGGGGGGAAAGTGCTCGGTAGGGAGATGCCTGTTCCATCCAGAGAGAGGAGGAGGAGGAGAGGAAAGGGAAGGGGAGAGAGAGGAGAGGGACAGACAGACAAGAGACAGAGCCGGGGGAGAGGGAAAGAGCAGAGACGGAGGGGAGCAGGTCGGCAGGGACACGGACGCTCAGGACAGCCTGGTGTCGGATGAGGCACAGTGGCCCCACGACAGTGAGCGGAGGGTCTGAGGGAGACAGGGACTGGATCCCACGCGTGCAGTCGCAGAGGACGTGGGGGCCGGTGGTGGCAGATTGACAGCTGGTGCTGGTCACCGTCCCGGCTCTGGTGGCCTGTGTGTAGGGTAGCACTGTTCCGCAGGGTCTCCCAGGCTGGCATGACTCTGGAAGCAGATTGCCAGGCATGCCTTCCTTGGTGCCTCTGAGTGGGTTAGAACCCCCAGCCTTTTGACTGGTAGTTTAGTGCTTAACCGTTGTGACACCCAAGGGCTCCAGATTTATAGAATCACCCATAATGTGAGGCTGTGGTCCCGGGGACAGCTTGGACTAGGATGGTGACAAGGACATGGTGAGATTGTGGAGTCAGTTCCATCAGCCAGTCACGTTGGGTTTATGTGGTTCCTGACCCTGCCTTCCTACCAATGAGAACAACTTTTACATGCACCCTAAGCCATTACTTTTTAGTAAACTATAGTTTACGTATGCTACTGTAAATCCTATGTTCCGTAATTGCGTAACAAAGTAAACATTTAAAAGAATGGGAGTTTCTTCAACAAACAAACTCTAAGTGGGGAGAATGGAGGAGTAGATGAACAGACTTAAGAGTGAGTGAAATGAAAGAAAGCAGGAAACATCGGCCAAGCACACTGCAGCGACTTTGTCTGGCCCCTATAAACAGTTGAAAGTCTGAGACAATTGGAGGTTTGTACATGAACTGAATAATGCATATTAAGGAATTATTTATTTTTAAAAAAATATCTTATTGTGGCAAAATGTATCTAACAAGTGTTGCCATGTTTAAGTGTGTAATTCAGTGACATTCATTATGTTCACTGTGTTGTGACACCATCACCACTGTCCTTCACCTGAAGTTTTTCATCCCCTGAGCAGACACTGGGTGCCTGTGGCAGGAACTTCCCCCACCCCAGTAACAGCTAATACACTTACGGGTCTACGTGTGTGCCTGTCCTACACATTCATGTTCGTGGGGACATCCGTGTCCTTTGTGTCTGGCTTGTTTCACTCAGCATCGTGTTTTCGAGGCTTGTTCATCCATGTTGTTGTCCACCAGGACTTCATTTCTCCTTGTGTCTGAATATCCTCCCTTGTGTGTGTATGATCCACAACCATGTCTCCATTCGTCTGTTGACAGACACCTGGGTCATTTCTACCTTTGGGCTACTGTGACTAGTGCTGTGTGAACACTGGTGTGCAAGCCTCTGTTCAAGGTCCTCTCTCGACACTCCTGGGTATATACCTGGGGTGGGATTGCTGGGAATTGGTCATAGGCTCGGCTAGGACCCGTGTGTGTGAGAGAGAGTGTGAGAGAGAGAGAGAGAGAGGTGATTAGAGTTCCGTATTTTGGAGTCCCTCGGCTGCTGTGTCAAAGTGGCTTTGATGTGGTTTGGGGGAAGCGGTAGGAACACTGAGAAGAGCAGGGTGGGGCGGGGCAGGTCCTGAGGCCCTGGGACCACACCACATCCCACTGGGAAGCGGGCAAGAGTGGAGCACTCTGCTGGGAACGACCGAACCAGATCTTGAGGGTGGGAAGCTGTGCTGTCATCTTGAAATGCGTGTTGCGACGAGCAGTGGCTCTCACACGGTAAGGAGCGCGGTATTGCTCGAGGAGCCACAGCAGAGGAACCTGTTGAGTGGTCCCTGCGATTGTTAAGAATGCCCGAACCGGACATGTCAGCAAAGCTTTTCTAAGCCACTAGGCATTTGGGGCGCATTTGTTATTGAAGGAGGAGAGTGGGTGCAGGAAGGGAAAGAGGGATTCGCAGTCTCTGTTCCAACTGAAGGAAGAGGCCAGTTGTCATTCTGTCCTTCCTTGTTCCCACTCCTCAACAGCCTGCTTGAAAAGGAAAAGATGTTATCACATACTGGGTATCAGAGTACTAGGAACAAGGTTGCGGAAACATCCAGCACTGAGCTGTCTCTGCGTTACCCAGCCTCCCAGGCCCTCCGGGTATTTCAGATGACTTCTCCCCAGGCCAGTGGGTCTCAACACAGAACGCTCACTCATTCTTCCCAAACTTGGCAGCGTTCCTGTTTTCCATAGGTTGTTTGAAATGTCTCATAGAACCAGGCTGTGATGCCACCTGTCATCAGCAGGGGGCGCTCTCTAATGCATGGTGTATAAACCTTAACCAAACTCACTACCATTGAGTCGATGCTGACTCATAGCAGCCCCCACTCCGTGTCCAAGGCTATAAATCTTTATGGAACGTAGATTGACTCATCTTCCTCCCATGGAGCAACTGGTAGGTTTGAACCTTTGACCTTCAGCATAGCAGCCAAATCTCAGACTTTGGAGGTTCCCTGTTTTGAATATATAACCTGTCACCCTGCTCTTTCAGCTTTGCAAGTTCTAGTTCTCCTGAATAAATTTGCTTAAACACAAATGTGCCAGGAATATCAGTAACCTGAGTGTCCATCACCAGTAGAGGGTGGTACATCGTGATACATTCATCCAATGGGATGCTCTGTAGCCGTGCAAATGAGTAACACCAGTCAGCAGGGCCATGGAAGCCGGTCACTGTGCTTCCATAGATAGGACAGCCAAGAAAGCCCTGCAGAGTGGTTCACGTGGGGTGGCTAGGGGGTGAAAACAACGCGACAGCTCCTGACACCACCCCCCCACCAGATACGTTCCAGTCAAACCCTGGCCGAACTCACTGAGGGGATCAAGAGCTTGATAGGGTTACCCTTCTTGGGGTGGGTGGGCTGGGGGGGGACACGAGGACACTTCTGGGAGCTGGGAACACCTGTCTGTTGATATGGGAGCTGGTCGTTAGTTTGTGACATGGGAGAGGCACCCGTATGATGCACACACTCTCTGTATGTGCGTCAGAGCTTGAAAAGCCACATCAGTTCACGACTCTAACCTGCTTAACCACGATCCTGGTTTCTTCCCCCAGACTGATGAGCAATGCGAGTTGAAAGCCATCGAGAAGGAGAAGACAGTGGTACCTCTGCCGCCCAAGGAAGCATGCAAGTGCCACAAAGAAGACTTGGCCAAAGCATTTTACGTAAGAGCTAAACATTCGTCTGATGGCTGTTACAGTGCGGTGTTTAGATTAGAAAGAGAGCAACATGGGAAGCCCGGAGGCTGCCTTGGAATCCTGTTAAGATACATTTTTATGTGTTGCGAGAAAATGCTGTGGGTCTTGACTGGTTCCCATGGCGAGTACCATCGTCAGAGTCCTCAGTAGTGCCGCTTCCCACCATTCCCCGTCAGACACGCTGTGTGGTGTGTCCGTATCCTCCCATCTGCACGTGAGGAAACAGAGACACAGGGAATGGAACGCTTGCCCAGGTGGGCCAGGGCGTAGCACACCTGGTGTTGAATCCAAGTATTTTGTGTCGTTGAATCTCAAACTCTGCGCCATTCTCTAGTCCCATCCTTGGCCTCTTACAGTCCATGGTGTGGACAGTGACTTCTACCAAATCTCACACGTTTCTCAGATGCATTTGAATTCCTGTCCAGAGCCCACTCGGCCAAGCCTGAGGCAGAAGGACGTGGCTTGTTTTATGTTTTTAATTTTCTTTACTTAGGAAACTGAGCAAACATACTGGGGTGTGTGTGTGCACGTGTGTGCGCACTCATAACCCACTGCACCCAGGGGAAACGCACAAACACCTCCCAGCAGAAGAGCCTGCGTCACAGTGTGTAGGAGGCTGGAAGGCACTCTTTCATGCCACTCTTTCCCTGAGAGTACCCCAGACTCCTCTAACACCCCTTAACCTCCTGCTTGTATCTGGAGAGAGGCAGGAAAGACTTTTTTCTCTGCCTGGACCTTGTCCCTGTGAAAGAGCTTGATTTCCATTCTCTGGAAGAATCTAGAAGGAAATTCTGCCCCCATGCCTCCTGCACACGTCGTGCTCCGAGTGGAGCTTTCTCGTTGCTGAGTTTGTCAAAACGAGGATACGGTTGCTGACATCAGAATGACGGCTCCCTTTCCTTGTGCTTGGCTCTCGATGACTGAATATGTGGAAAGAGCGCGGGGCCATGTCTGGCGGAGCCTGCGCACGACTGAATAGTTTTAGCTGCTATTGTGTCTAAGGGTGGGTCTCCTTGTGCTCTTTTTTTGTTTTAAAGAAAAAGCGTTTCTGTGTTTCTGAAATTCCATATTACAATTCCATTTGTTAAAATTTAGGCCCAGGGTATTTGTCTTGCTGTCAGTTTAGGGCAGTTTTCTGTTAGCTTTTCAGTGGCCGAGTCAGTCCTCACTTACAGCCCCCCGTGTGTCAGACCAGAGCTGAGCTCCGTGGGGTTTGCAGTGGCTGATTTTTTTGGCAGCAGATTGTCAGGCCTTTCTTCCGAGCTGCTTCTGGGTGGACTTGAACCATTAGCCTTTCAGTTAGCAGCCAAGTGCTTAACCATTCGCACCATCCAGGGACTGTGGTGCAGGGCAAAGGAGCTGCGCTGCTGGGGGCCTTTGGAGGAGTCCCTCTCCTTCGTAGAGTCACAGTCGTCAGCGTCGGAGAAGCCGGTTCTGGGCTGGGGGTCCCATGAGTCGGGTTCTGCAGTCCTCACAGGGCCCGTCCCTGAGCTTGCTCTTGACTGTCTCCTCCAGGTGGACTTGGAGAACGGGCTGTCAGAGCTCGCGGTGACACAACGCAGGCTGGTCCACGGCTGGAATGAGTTTGTTGCCGACAATACAGAGCCTGTGTGGAAGAAGTACCTTGACCAGGTAGGGCCCCGGGTGGCAGGCCTGTGCTCTGACCAGCCTGAGCCAGGGGCAGGGTCATCCCTTGTTTAAACTTTGATTGAGGGTGTCCTCAGGCAGGTTCTGAGGAGTGGGACAGGGGTGTTATGCTGGTAGATGGGACTCACTCTCCTGGTCGGGCTGCCCTCGGCGGCAGGAGGGATACCCATGACTGCAGCACCTGGGCAGTCATGGTCATGAATAACGGAGGCCAAACTCCCTGAGGGCTGACTGCGTGCCAGGCAGCATACTGAGGGCTTTGCAGGCACTGACGTACCCCTCCTCCTAGCCCAAATAGGTAAGTGCTGTGTGACCCCCCGTGAGGCAGTGGTGGTTCCGTGGCAGAATTGTCACCTACCATGTTGGCAGCCCAGGTTCAGTTCCCGGCCGTGCCCTCACACGCAGCCTCCACCCGTCAGCCTCCCTGGAGGCTGGCTTGTCGTGGTGGTGCTGACCAGCCTTCAGCGGAGCTTCCAGGCTGACGGTCTGATCCTGGCCAGTCATGGGGCTGCCATGGTCCAGGCAGCGTCTCATGCCATTGTGCAAGGGTCATCACGGGTTGGGGGCTGACTTGACCACGGCTGACAGTTCCATCCCCTTTTACAGATGAGGTCCTCGTGTACAGAGAGTTGAAATTTTAGCCTTAGGTTTTTTGTCAGATTTAGCAAATAAAAACAAAGGCTACCCAGTTAGATTTCATCAGCCAACTAAGGAATAACTTCTTCACGTGAATAAACGTGTTGCAGCTAATGCATGGGACACGATGTTGTTAGGGGCCGTCACGTCCGTTCCAATTACTAGCAGCCCTGCACGCAGCAGGACAAAACTCTGCGTCATCCTCACAGTCCTTGGTACGTTGGAGCCACCGTGTCAGGCCACCTTGTTGAAGGTCTTTCTTTTTTTTTTTTTCCTCTGGTGTGCCAAGCATGAAGTCCTTCTCCAGGGACTGGTTCCTCCCAATAACATATCCAAAGTACACGAGACAGAGTCTCACCACGCTGGCTTCTAAGGAGCATTTTGGCTGTGCTGCTCTCAAGACGCATTATTCCTTGTTTGTCTGAAATTCAGACTTAAGTGAGTGTCCCGTGTTTTACCTGGCAAGCCCAGGGCAAAGCCACACAGCAGTAAGGGCCAGTGTTGGGATGCAAACTGGCCCAGAGTCTCTGTCCTTAGCCCTTGCTATAGATGATGCCTCATTTCTGAACGAAAGGTACCATAGTCAAGGTGCCAGGAAGCCATTAGGAAAAGGGGCGTGAAAAGTCAGACATGGCTGCAAGTTCCAGTCTAGAAGGCAATACTCCTATACCCACCCTTACCAGTGCAGAAAGCCCTAGTGGGTAGAACTTTCCAGAAGGCTGAGGGCAGGCACTTAGCCTCAGTTTCCTTTCCTCAACCCTTTGTGGCACTGCCCCTCTCCATCCTTTGGCTCGAGGGCTCCCTGAGCTTCAACTTCCTTCCTGTTGGCTCAGTGGCTAACGCTTTCCTGATTGGTTGTTCAGAGACCAATCACAGCCTTCCTTGCAGCATCCTCCTCCATCCTTCTCAAGTCCCACCCTGCTCATTGGTCCATTTTCAGTGCAACAGGGATGACATTCGTTGATGCCTTTTCCTCTGTAAAGGACTTCTGGGTACCAAGTGGCTCTGGTCAGTCCAGAAGCTTCCTACAATCCAGTGTTGGGAGCAGGTGGTGCGATGCAAGCTTCTGGGAGTTGAAGTGCAGAGAAGGAAGCTGAAGCTCTCGCTGTGGTGGGGCGCTCTCCACGCTGTAGCCGGGGACCCATCTTTGCCCAAACCTAGAAGCACAAAGCCTCTTCCGGCTGCTCTGCCTGGGGTACCCCTTCCTCTGGGACGCCTTGCCCATCTCCCTGGGATGGTCTCCTTCCTGCTGCCACTCTATCAAAACCCACCCTCAGCTTCTTGCTTCATACGGGAGTCCTCGTGCAGCTTGCTTTGCACGACGGTGCTGTTACACCACTAACAATGTTAACACGTGATTAATAGCATGGAGTGCGTTCTTCACGGCTGATGTGCCAAATGCTTCAAAGATGCCTTTTGCGACAGGCTGGTGGCAAAGAACCCCCCACCCTATTTTTCACTTCGCAGTTTAAGAACCCCCTGATCCTGCTACTGCTGGGCTCGGCCCTGGTGAGCGTGCTCATCAGAGAGTACGAGGATGCCGTCAGCATCACTATGGTGAGTGCCCAGGGGCCGCCAAGGGGCTCGCGGACACACTTTGTTATGGGGGAGAAAAGGTCTCATTTTCATTACGCAAGAAGAATTCGCTGCGTGGAAAGAAGAAACGTGCGCGTGTATATAGATACATCTCTGCCCTCCGCCCTCCGTCCCTCCCTCCTCTCCCATATGTATGTGTGTGCGTGCTCACATACACACACACACACACACACACACACACACACACACACGGAGCCATCGTCCACTCCCCAGCAGGCGACCTCTTTCTGTTGGAGGCCCCTCCTGCGGTGCAGTGCTCTGCCCTTCTCAGCAGCACTGGGGTGGGGGCCAGACTGACCTGGGATGAGGAGCAGAGTGTGTTGTTGAGTGGAAAGGGCAGATTCTGGAAGAACCCTGTGCGGATGTGAAGAACCCTGTGCTGTGTGACCCTGTGTTAGATGTGTGACCCCGTGCTGGATGCACGACCCCCTGTTAGGAGTGTGACCCTCCAGTTGAACGCATGACCCTCCCATTGGACATGTGACCCCGTGTGTATGTGCAGAAAGACAAGGAAACCCAAAAACATGAAGCTGTGGGTGACGGCACTGAGGGTGGCTCTCTTTTGTCGTGTTGTTGGCTTCCTTGTTTTCCATGCTTTCTGCACAGTGTGTTTGTTTTGCAAGACAGGAAGTGCGTCCCAAGCCTGCCCCTCCCCCTCCCCATCCCTCCCCCTCCCCCATCACCCTCGCCCCCCACCTGTGCCCGGAGCACCTGGTGCTGACGCCCTGCCCCTCCCCCTTAGGCTGTGCTGATTGTGGTCACCGTGGCCTTCATCCAGGTATGTATTTCCTGAGTTCTGGGCTGGGGCGACCAGGCGTGACGGGCATTGTGTGAAGTTCCTGTTCCTTGAACAGCATGTCTGATGTGCCCCTTGCCAGGAGTACAGATCAGAGAAGTCCCTGGAAGAGCTGACCAAGCTGGTTCCCCCAGAATGCAACTGGTAAGTCAGAGCCCCGTGACTTTGGGGTGTGTCCAAGGAGCCGGTGGGCTGGCAAGTGTGGCAAAGGCCTGTGTCCTTGTGGCGTAATCCAGGAGAACCATGGCCTTACAGGGAGTTAGAGCCTGCCAGTGGATTGCTGTGTGTCCTTGGGCATCTCACTCAATCTCTCTGGTCTTCACCATACCCTTAGTGTCTGGGTCTGGGCACCTCGGCCAGGGGCCACAGTCTGGCAGGACGGCTTTGGGGGAGGAATTGTCCACACGGCCTCTGAATTATGTGTAAAGCTGTGTCCCTTGTTTCCTAGGAACAGGGCTCAGAGTTTTCACTGAATCCTTAAAGGGTGGACTCAGAAGAGATTATTTGTCTTTGAGAAGCCAAAGCATTAAGACACAGGTTGGAAGGGTGGGATGCCACTAAGAGAAGGAAGTTCAGGCATTTGAAAGCTGCTCCCCAGCCTCTGTCCCACCTGCACAGGCCACCGGACACACCTGCTATCACAGCTCTCACCTGAGATGTTCAAACAGGGAAAAGAAAAGACAGAAACGTCTGCCAGGACCTCACAGGCATTTCTGCTTACAGAGTGCTGTACCATGACACTTTGTGTGAAGATGGAGATGTTCTTTAGCTGCGCCGTCCAATAGCCAGCTCCTAGCCACTGTTGTGGACCTGAAATGTGGTTGAGGACCTGAAACGTGGCTGGTGCAACTGAATAAGAATGCTAGTTAATTTCAATGAAAAGAGCCACTTGCCCATTCTCTGAGGCAGCTCAGACTCCAAGGGTTTGCCAGGACGCTGCTTGTAGGGGCCCTCGGTAAAGGAAAAGCAGCTCTGATGGTGCAGTGGGTAAGCCCTCGGCTGCTGGCTGAGAGGTCGGCTGTTCACATGCACCAGCCGCTCCTTAAGGGCAAGATAGGGCCGTCTGCTTCTGTAAGATGAAGGCCCTGTAGGCCCTGGGTGGCAGTCCGACTCCGTCCCCTCTAGGGATACGTGAGTAGAAATCGACTCAGCAGGAGCGGTTGGTTGGTCGGAATCCTAAGTCTATTTTGTTTATGAGAATGAAATGATTTCAGAAGGGGCAGAGTCTCCCCCTCGCCCCTACTCCCAGCACCTCCACGCCCTGCCTCAGCAGAACTTTCATTTAAGTGACTTCACCTCCTAACAGGGAGACTGGGATTGATAAGGAGGGGCCTGGGGTTGACTCACAGCTGCCCCAAGCTTGTCCAGGTGCTGAGCACAGCCCCTGTGGGCTGGTCGAGTCCATTATGCACATACCTAGTATGACACCCACCTCAGCATTTGACTGCTAACCAGAAGGCTGGCGGTTCAAACCCACCAGCCACTCCTCTGAAGGAAGGTCGGGCAATCTACTTCCGTAGAGATAGTGCCTCAGAAACCCAAGGAAGGGTCGCTGTGAGTCGGATTCAACTTGACAGCAGTGAGTTTGGTTGTTGGGGTTCAGCCATACTGTGAAGAAACCAGGGCCCAAGTCAGAATCAGAGTAGACCTGCGCCATAGGGTTTCCAGGGCTGTAAACTGCCAGCCTTTTGGTTAGCAGTTGAACATGTTAACTGCACCACCCAGGAACTCCAGATAAGCTGGCGGAGGTAAGTAGGGGCGTAACAATGTCTCGGTTTAATGGCTGGGTGAATAAGGACGTCAGCGAAGCAGATGTGTGGTGTGTGATGTGATTGTAGGAGCAGGCGGCCATAAATGATGCATGTGGTTGGGCAACCCGATCTGAAGTCTAAATACCTAGTCTTGGCCTTTCAAATGGACAGTAGTTATTATTCACATCCCGGAAGTCCCTTCTAAGAGGCAGTTTTATTTGCAAGAATGTCAGGGCAGACACTGGGAAAGCGGAAAGAGTGCTTGGAGGGCCCGCTCCACTGACTGGGTGGAGCACCTGCGTGCGGACCCTCCCCATGTCCCTCCACCCTTTGCACGACCAGCACACATTTATTGAGCACCTACTGCACGCTGGGGAAACGGCTCTGGGGTTAGACCGTGAGCCAGATGGAAAGCTCTCGGGCTTCATGGCACTCTCATTCCTACACTGGGAGGCAGATGATAAGCAAGTAAAGAAATGAGGTGATTCCAGGACATGACAGGGGTATTGGAGCTAAGACACCAAATCCCCCAAGCCACACATGAGTCCAAACAAACCCCAGAAAGACACGAGAGTGATGAGTAGAGGGGGGCAGCTTTGGGTAGTGGGTGTCTTAATCTTCTAGGGCTGCCATTAGAAAATACTACAACCAACATAGTGGCTTTAAGGAACGGAAATTTACTTTCTTATGATTCTGGAGGTTAGAAGTTCTAGTTCAAGGTCTTGACCATGTAGATCCCTTCTGAGGGCTTTGAGAGAAGAGCTTTCCTGGTCCCTGAACCCCCAGTGGCTGTTGGCTGCTAGCAGTCCTTGGCTGTCCGGCTTGCACACAGTCTCACATGCTGTCTTCCTCTGTGTCGGTCTGTCTCTCGGTCTGTTCTCCCCTTTTATAAGTCGCCACTCAGAAGGGACTAGGGGTAGGACCCACTGTGCTCTGGTATGACTTCATTACTGACATCACCCACAAAGGAAAACACTATTTCCCCCGAACAGGGTCACATTTGCAGATACGGGGCCATGTGGGTGACGGGACTGCCCTGCCCTGATGTCCGAGGATGCCAGACGTCTCAGCTGAGCCTGAGGACTAGAAGGAGCTGCCACGGGAAGGGCCGAGGGGAGGGTCTTAGAGACCAAGGGAGCAGCAGTGACAGGTGCTCTTGGCCACAGGAACGCAACGCTCTGACCCAGCTGCACAAACCACAAGGAATGTGTGTTGTGTCGCCTAGCAAGGGATCCGAGGTGCAGGCTAATCCCTTCAAGATGCCACCAAGGACTTGCTTTTTCACCTCTCTACTCGGCCATCTCTGGCTTGTTGGCTTTGTTCTCTGTCCTCATGGTCCCAAGGTGGCTGCCACAGTTCCAAGCATCACAGCCAGGAAAGAAAAGTTCCTGTGGAAGAAGAGGTCTGTGTGTGTGCATGCATGTGCAGTTATAGGGGTGTACACGCATCAGTGTGTGTCTGTGCATGTGGGGGTGAGGCGTGCATGTGCATAGAGTGTATGTGCGCACATGGGGGTGTGAGTGTCATTATGTATGTCATGTGTAAGTGAGAGTGAAGAGTGTGCACTCACATCTCATGGGTTAGTGTTGCATACATGTGTGTGCATATGCATGTGCATGGAGGGTGGAAATGTGTGTGTGTGTGTGTGTGCCAGTCCTGAACAGGGGAAGGGACCTAACCCCTGAAGGCCACACTGTGCAAGAAAAAAAAAATATTGTGAGGAGTCTGCTCCCACTTCCCAGGTCTGCAGAGACCCTGAGGCCAGGAGGAGCTGGTAAGTTCAAGGGCCGGGTGGGTTGTGGGGATCAGCAGGAACGGAAGGAGGCAGGTCAAGTGGAAGGCCATGGGTTCGGTTCCCAGGGCAGTGGAGGTGCTGGCGGCTGAAGGGATAGGTTGCTGTGGTCTGATTTCAGGGTCTAAAGAGCCCTCCAGCTGCCACTGCAGGATGACTGGGAGGAGGAAGGTGCTGCCGGCTGGCTCGGGGCGGGTGTGGTGGAGTCCCCCCAGAGTCTGTGCTCAAAAGCACACCATTGTCTGGTGGCAGATGGGCGCATGGGTGTGGTCCCGATGCCCTGGGCGTCATCATGGCCCTTCCAGCACTGATGGGCGCTGCTAGTCTTGAACTCCGTGGTCAGGCTCTTCACGCATGGTGGTGTGTGCTCTGGGAGCCGGCTGTGAGCAGTAGGCTCCACTGAGGAGGCTGGTGGACCCTGCTCTAGACATGCTGGATGCTCCGGAAGTCATCAGGCCTGCCCTTGTTTCCACGCAGGATAAACTGTCAAAAGGCCACAAACCCCAGTAGTTGTCCATCGATTCCTATTCATGGGACCCCACGAAGTGGGACTTTGTAGGGTTTTTAAGGCCGTGACCTTCTGAAGGAGATGCCAGGCCTCTCTGCTGAGGTGCTGGGGTGAACTCAAAGCTCAGTCTTTGGGTTTGCAGCTGAGCGCTTACCTGTCTGCACCACCTGAGGATGCACCCAGTAAACAGCTGTTGGGTCGCATCAAGCCAATTCTGATGCACAGTGAGCGCGTGTGACAGAGTAGTCCTGTCCTGGGGGGTTTCCTGGGCTGTCATCCGTCCGGGAGCAGATCGGCAGGTCTTTTCTCCTCCAAGGTGGCTGATGAATTTGAACCACCAACCTTTTGGTTACAGCCAAGCACTCGCCCCCTTTCCATATGGGCCATGCAGAAGCCACCCATTTTCCCAAAGCCTTTGAGTAAATGTGAATTGTGACGATCGAGCCTGGCAGGCTCCAGAGTGTGTCGGTAACTGAAAGTGTTTCCATTGCTTTGCTCAGACCCATCAGAGTGCTGGTGAAGGATGTTACTGGGAACCTTTTGCTTTCTTCTCTGTCAAATGCAGCATAAGGGAAGGGAAACTCCAGCACCTGCTCGCACGAGACCTGGTTCCCGGAGATATCGTGGCCCTGTCCATCGGAGACCGTGTCCCCGCAGACATCCGCCTCACCGAGGTGAGCACCCCAAAGCTTTGTTCTCGGGGCACGCAGACCCTGAGCTCAGCCAGAGGGCACCCTTGATGGTCTCGCTCCTCCTGCCTCACACATGCACACAGATATGTACACCTGCATGTGTGTGCACACGCACACACACAAGCCAGAGGCAAGCAAATGAGCCAGCCTCGAGCGCTGTCCAGTTACCGTCAAGTTGACACTGACTCCCAGTGACCCACGTGTGAGGTTTTCAGTGACTGATTGTGTGAAAGCAGGTTGCCAGCCCTTTCTTCAGAGGCACCCCTGGATGGACTTGAACTGCCAACCTTTTGGTTAGCAACCCAGCAGATTAGCCGTTCGCACCACCAGGTGCTCGAGCAGAGACCCCTTTGCTGTGCTGCCACGAGTTCCCCATCCTTGGTTTAAGCGTAAGGTGGGCACGTTCTGGCTGTGCTTTTCTCATTAAGAGCAGACAGCGGTTTGGGATCAGATGATGAGGCGAGAGAGGCTTCTAGAAACAGAGACGTGTTCCCAGGCCTCTTAGTGGTGAGGGAGGACACACACAGTGTGTGAGAGGCAGCTCCCGTTCTCCTAATACCAGGTGGGACTTTGGCTTCAGGGCACATGGTCCCCTAACCTATGTGGTGTGGGTGTCGGCGTCACAGCTTCTAAGGACAGTGACTGCGGCTCTCAGAGCTCATACTGGACTCTCAGGGAGAGGTTGGCTGAGCTCAGAGGGAGCTGGTCACTGGGGTGGAGCCACACCAAGGCCCCTTCCAAGAATGCTTAAATGGTTCAAAGCTTCCAGTGATAGCAGATGGAGCCCAGGTCACCTGCCTGTTTACTTACGGTGATGTGTTCTCACTGCTCGGAGGGCAGCACCGAGGAAGGAGCACGGTGAGGCTGAGATTCAGGTGCTGCTCTGACCGTATCCCAGCTCTCTGAGAGGCAGGAGGCGTTGGCCTCAGACGCGGCCACTTGAGCCTTCAGCCCCCTCTGCTCAGACCTCTCAGCAGGCTGGGGCTAGGGCGTCCAGGACACTACATTTTAAGGAGACACTCAGTGTCAAGCTCAGGGTCAAAGGAGGCTGAGTGGCGATTCTGGAATGTTCCTCCTTCCCTGCAGGGTTCCATTTGGTTTTAGTACTAACACTGTGTCCCACTTAAGTCAGGTTACATGGCTTCATGAAGCAATCACTCTTTGTCTTTGTCTTACAAACAGGGACGTGAATGCTCAGAGGGGCTCAGCTATTTGCCTGTGGTGCACAGCCGCTAAATAGCAGAGCTGGGATTTGAACACAGGTCTGGGCTCCAAATCCTGCCCTTTGTCTCATGTCCCACTGCCTTGCCTGTGGAACAAAGGAGGCTATGGTTAGGGAAGCGACTCCCAGCAGTTGTGCTGGAAGGTGGGGTAGTTGTACCTTTTTTAATTGAGAGTTGGGGTGCAGTGAACAGGAATGGAGGTCAAGTCACCTTCAGGCAAGAAGTAGAGCTGACTGGCTCCTGTGACCACATGGGGAAAGAGCAGGAATAGAGCCTGCCTCAGTGATGGCTGGATGTGGGGTGCAGACACAGGCCCCTCTCCTTCTCTCTCCCCTGACTTCTGCTGCTCAGTCTTTGCTTGCTCCACACACCCCTGCTCTGATGGGCTCCTCACCATGGACTCATGTCTTCAAAACTCATGGCCGTGACATTCCCCAACAACAGCAAGTAGGGAAGGCCTCTGATTGGCCAGGCCCAGTCACATGGCCAAAGAAAGGGTGCACCAAACATGACCACTGGGAGGACATCTTTGTGAGCTAGGTGACCACATCCATTAGTGTCACCCTGATTTGCATGACTTCATGGGTGACTCCAGCACGTACTCCACTGTAACTACTTCATTCACTCGTCAGTCAGTCATTGAGTACGTTGCCCAGCACTGTGCTAGGCTCTGGTGATGTCGTGAAGAAAGAGCACAGATCTCTGCCCTTACTGAGCACACGGTCTAGTCCAACGGCATGCTGGGAAGCAGCGTTGGGGGAGAATTGGGGCAAATTCCACTCAGTGCATGTTTCTGGGTGCCTACTGGAAGCCAGGGAGCTCTGGTAGCATAGTGGCCAAGGCACTTGACTGCTAACCAGAAGGCTGGCGGTTCAAACCCACCAGCCACTCCTTGGAAGGAAGGTTGGGCAATCTACTTCCATAGTGATACTGCCTCGGAAACCCAAGGAGGGGTCGCTATGAGTCAGGTCCGACTCGATGACACATAACAACAACAACAACAACAACAACTGGAAGCCAGGCTCCGAGAGCGAGGACGAAGCCTGCGCATGCCATCTGCTGCTCAGCGTCAGCCAGGGAGGTCCTTCGCTGCAAGCTACAGAAATCCACCAGGGGAAGTGTGGTCAGGAAAGGAGCGACTGAGTTTGTGCCGAGCAGCTCAGCCTTCCGAGGGCTGCAGAACTCGGGTGATAGGACGCTTTGAGGACCAAACTCAAAGCCACGCTGCTGAGCTACCACTGCTCGTGCCGCCGCCCGCTCTGGGGTAAATGGACCCCTCTCAGTCCTGCCGTTCTTTGGGAACAGATGGAGCCAAGTCCTGCCTGCAAGGATGGCCGGCCGGGACAGCGGAGCTGACATTCTCTGTTCTCTGCCGAGAGGTCAACTCTGCCTCACAGCGGATATATGCCCAGGCGGAGGAGGGCCTGTCCAGGGGCCGGGCAGCCCAGGAGAAGGCAGGTACACACTGCAGGTGCTGCTGTAGAGGCGAAGGAACGGTGTGGAGGGCACGGTGGTGATGCCCTGGGGCCGCGCTGCCTGGCCAGAGTCCCGGGCAGGCAGTTCACAAGATGTGTGACCCTGGACAAGTCACTTAGCCTCAGTTTCCTGATCTGTAAGATAGGAGTGATGATGCTCTTAGGGTGATTGGAAGGATTAAATGGCTTAATATGAGAAAATTACCTAGGACGGTGCCTGGCACCAGCTGAGTGATGGGCAGGTGGCTTCTCTGTCATCGCTGAAGACAAGTCGGTGGTTGGGAAGCACTGGGTTTCGAGGCCTGGCCCCATGCCTCCGTTTCCCCAGTACTGACATCATTTTCTACCTCCCGGGGTTGTCATGTTTAACAAGAGCCTGTGCTGTCCCTGGGGGGCAGCCCCTGAACATCAACAAGGGCATTGTTTTTTATTTTTAAATCTGTTGCTTGTTTCGGCAGCAGTTCTTGGAAACCGTTCTCCCAAATTCAAACAGTTCCTTTACTGTCTTGAATCTTGACTGGCATCTGGCCTGCCCTGCTTATTTCAGTTAAAATGTTCCCTGTTCATGAAACCGCAAGGCTTCTTCCAAGGCCCCCAGCCATGAGCACACCCCCGTGTTGTGCTTTCAGTGTTTTGCAACTCTCTGCCACGGTCAGTAGCTTCGTTTGTTCATAGCCAAGTTTTTTTTTTTTTTTTATCAGCTGCTAAACTCTGAAATCCAGGAGGGTTTTACACGCTAAACCCATTTAGGTCAGGAAACAGCCAGTACAAGAAAGTGCTTAAAGTAAGTGCCCCAAACAATAGCCCTTTGGCATAATTGGGGGTGGGGGTGGGCATCGGTACATTTTCTCCCAAGGTACAAACAGGCAAGAGCCCTCAATGTAATTGGCTGACCTGGTACAGCCGTGAGATAAGGTCACCCACTACTTTCTCCTTTCTTTTTCCTTCCCTCCCTCCCTCCCTCTCTCCCTCCCTCTCTCCCCCTACCCCTTCTCTCTCTCCCCCTCCCCTACCATTTCTAAGATAAAAACAAAGAATTTAAATGGTTTGTCACAACTCTGAGTCATGCAGGGCTGTGTGGGGAGAGTTGGTGGGACCTTTGGGTCCACTGAGCAGGAGGTGGCCCAAGTCTCTCAAGTTCACATGGGCCCGCCCCCTTGGCAGCCTCTGGCGTCGTGTGGGTTCTGGCTCCCGACTCTTTGGGCCACTTGTGTCCCGCCCTGAGCCCTCTGGGCCCTCGCCCAGCCCTGTGCTCCGGGGGTGCCGTGAGCTCCTGCCCGGCCCAGCCAGCCCCGTTCCTTTGAACCCAGAAGCTCCTCCTCCTGCCCCTCTCTGTTCTCCTCGTATGAAGAGAATTCATATTTCTCTGGGTGTGTCAGCTCTGCGCTAACCGCTGCAAAAAAAAAAAAAAAACACCTCATTTCATCTCCCAGCACCTTCAGGAAACCAGTACCCTTCCCTGGCCGTTGAGTTAATTCTGCCTCACAGCCCCAGTAGAGGACCTAGTAGAACTGCGTGGACGGCGTCCAAGGCTGTGATCTTTACAGAAGCAGACTGCCTCATCGTTCTCCTGTGGAGCCCCCAGGGGGTTTGAACCGCTGACCTTCTGATTTACAACCGAGTGTTTAAGCACCCACACCACTGGGGCTCCTTGGGGGCCAGAAGTTACTTTGCTCATTGTACAGTGAGGATACGGGAACCTGGAGAGCCCCACAACGGTGGGGGTGGGGATGCAGAATTCAAACCCAGGCCATCTGGCCCCTGGGCCCAGGTCCTGCACCACAAAGCAGTCTTCTCACCCTGTGACCAGCTGTCTGTCTCTTTCAGGCCCCATTTCTCCCTCAGACTTTGCTCGGTTGTGAGTTTCCTCTTGCTGCTGTAATAATGACCCTAAACTCTGTGGCTGAGAATACATGGTTCTGGAGATTACGAGTACAATGTGGTCTCCCTTGACCAAAACCAGGGTGTGGGCAGGGCCGTGCATCCCCTGGAGGCCCCAGGTAAGGACCCACTTGTTGGCCTCTTGCAGCCTCTAGCAGTGACCTGCATGCCTGGGCTGGTGGTCCCACATCTTTCCAACCGCTGTTCCCATTGCCTCATCTCTGACTCCGGCCCCCCAGCATCCGTCTTATAAGGACCCTGGTGATTCCATCGAGTTCCCTGGAGGAATCTAGGGTCATCTTCCTTCTCACGGTCTTTAACATGCATGGTTCCTTTTGCCTTGTAACATCCACAGGGGCAGGAATTGGGACGTGAATGTCGCTGGGTCTCATATTCTGCCGACCTGATTCAGGCCCTTCTCAACCTCCCTCCTCTCTTCCTGGCTCAGGGGCCTCCACTGACCCACTAATGCCCCCATGACTCATTTATTTAACAAATATTTCCTGATCACTTGCTATGTGCCCAGCACTGCTGGGTGATGAGGATATGGTGTTGAAACAGACCTGGTCCATGTCCTCAACGGTGCTTCTAGTTCAGAGGGGCAGACAATCCTGAATCTACTTGTCACAGGTGACTTTCAATGATGACAGGCAGAGAGGAATTTTTCCCAAATCATTGTCATGATTGTAAAAATATTTAAAAAATAAGGAACCCACTGTGTGCTCCCTGGGCCTTTTATAAAACATGGAGGTGTTCCTTGAACCACAAACAAGAAAGGTGATATTGTGGACATGAAGGGAATGGCCACTGTTCCAAAGGGATGCCGCACGAGTGTTCCAAGGCACAACTGGGGGGCCTACGGCATTTCGCAGTGTGCCCTTGGCTTTGCTGTGAACAGCCAAGGGCAGGATTCTCAACGAGAGTGTTAGTGTGTGTGTTGAGCAGGTCAGCACTCAGAGCAAAGGCAGCTTTTGGAAACACATGAAGGAAAATGGCCAGGAGAGAAGAAAGCCCCAGCCTCTCCCCACGGAGAGGCGCACTCTGTGAGAACCAGCGGGGAGGAGCTGAGCTGTGGGGCCTGTTCCCTGTGAAGTCACTGTTTCTCCTGTCTGCCCCTCCCTCCCTGCCTGACCGTCTCACCCCTGGTGGAGAGCCACACTGTGCCGCCTTTCTGTGCAGGCCTCTCCTCCCTCACATAACTGCCCTGCCTCCCCCAGAGTCCAATACAATTCTGTCCATCTCCCCCATGTTCGTTCCTTCTCTGCCCAAGACTCTTAATGGTTCCCCATGACTCACAAGAACGCCTCCAAGTTGATTAGCCTGGCAGTCGATGTCAGACACAGTTGGGCTCCACCCACACCTCCCAGGAATAATCCTGTCGAGCTGTTCCTCACCTGTGTCCCCTGGTGAGTCACACACACCTTCCTGTCTTTTCGCCTGTGCCTCCTGAGTTCAATCTTACCTTCCCTTCAGTACCCCTTGAAGGCAGGGGCAGCTCAACTTCCTGCTTGTGGCTTCAGCACCTGGGACAGCGCCCAGCACTGCCAACCATCTGCCACTCCAAAGAGGATGCATTGGTGACCTTGTGGGGCAGCTCCTAACTCACTGAGAAGTGGGAGAACTGAGCCTTTCAGCACCTCAGGATGCTGACCACTCTCAGCAGAGAGGCCTCTGTCCTTTTCAGGCAGAGGGACTGGAGTGGTGGGGAGGAGCCACGGTGGTCAGGGGTTAAGTGGTCAGCTGTTAACCGAAAGGTCAGTGGTTCAAACCCAGTAGCTCCTCCATAGGAGAAATATTGGTAGTCTGCTACCATAAAGATTGACGGCCTTAGAAACCCTGTGGGGTAGTTCTACTCTGTCCCTCGGGGTCACTGTGGGTCAGAATCCACTCTGTGGCAGTGGGTTGGGTTGGTTTGGCTTGGGATGGTGGGGGAAGAAAGCTCTTTACTTTGACTCCCACCTCTCGGGTGCTTTAATCGAGCACACTGTTGCCTTGTCCACCCACCTTCAGTGCTCCAATTTGCTGCTTTTTTCCTCTCTAGAGAACTTGCCTGACTCTGTCACGAAAGCTCTGCTCGCCCTTCAGGGCCTGTTTCCAGTCCTCGCTCCTCCGGGAGCCTCTGCTAGACTTCCAGCTCACCCCGGGCCCATGCCCACTCCCCACTCCTGCCTACTTCTCCCAGACCCCCTGCCCCTCAGTATCAGAAAAACGAATGTTCTCATTATGCCCCTCAAGCTCACACACTGGATGGGGCCCTTCCCAGTGTCGATCCAGTATTGCCTCTACAACTGTGAAACTGAGCCAAGTGTGCAAATTAAGTAGAGTTTATTTAAACTGTTGTCATAAAATCCTAGTTATCATCATGTCCCACCTGGACAGTGCTTTCTGGAAATGAAATCTCTGCTCGTCGTGGAGATGTGGTGTCACTTTCTCTGGGGTTAGAGCCTGTGGGGCTGTATATTGAAAGCTGCCCCACAATTTGACATTCCCTTGGTGGCCTGGGGTGCAAGAAGTACAAATGCAAACTCAAGGCCAGTTGGGAGTTGTATTCAAATCAGCAAGCCAGGATGCGTTTCTCTCTGACATACTGAGAGTCTGAAAGTGGGTTGTTTATAACCAATATGGCAGCCCCACCATAGAAGGGAGTGTCACCTCTTGTGTGGCACCTACTGGACCTGTGGTCAAGAGGCAACTTAGGCAATTTTGCAAGGTGGTTATGAGTGCAGGTCTGGAAGCAGAGCCTTGGTTCAAATCCCCACTCTGCCACTACTTAGCAGTGGAATGTTGAACAAATCTTTATGCCTCAGTTTCCTTATTTGTAACATTGAAAAAATGATAACATCATCCATGTAGGGTGTGAGGGTTAAGAGAGAAGCCTGGTGAGGTACTTAGCACAGGGTCTGGCACGTAGTAGGTGTTCTATAAACATCAGTACCTCCCTTCTTGCTTGGATCAAGTGGTCAACACTAACCTGAGTCAATGGTGTTCAGGCCATGAGGATTATGTGGGGGTCTCTAGGGTTGGCAGGGCATGGCATGTTAGAAGGAGAGGAAGGAGTTTTGAGAGCTGTATTGTAAATTCATTATTGCTTTAATATTAAAATTATACTAAAACTCCATTCAACGAAAGTGTGAGATTGTTATGTTTTTCAAAGTGGACCACACATTCAAAGTGGTTCAGAAAAGTGTTTCCAGTTGTTGGCAGTGTCTGGCCATGATTCCAATAGTCTTTCCTTGATTCTGATGTGTTCCTTGTTTGATGTCCACTGACAAATGACATTAAGGCACTTAATACCATTTTGAGCTTTTAAAGCCACCAATTCACAGGGTGAGAGGGAAGATTCCATTCTCTTTTCCTCTTGCCCCCAGGTGACAGACCTCCTGGTGGACGAGTCCAGTTTTACCGGAGAGGCTGAGCCGTGCAGTAAGACGGACAGCGCCCTGCCGGGCGGGGGTGACCTCAGCATGCTGAGCAACATAGCCTTCATGGGCACGCTGGTACAGTACGGGAAAGGCCAGGTGAGCCCAGCGCCGAGGGCCCCTGCCCTCCTCTCCAGCACGCCTCCAGTCCTCTGACCTCACACTCCTCTCTCCTGAACACAGGGCGTCGTGATTGGAACGGGGGAGAGGTCTCAGTTTGGAGAAGTCTTCAAGATGATGCAGGCTGAAGAGGTAAGGGCCTGGGGAGGCTCATGTTTCCTGTAACCTGGGCTCTGAGATTTCTCAGGCCAGCAGTACCAGCCCTGCCCACCTCGTAGGAGTGAGGACGATGTGGTTAATATGAGTGCGTTTTGTGTTTTAAACAAACTTTCCTCTTAGGGAAGTTTTAGGTTTACAGAAAAACTGCAGAAAGTTCAGAGTTCCCATATACCGCCCCTTCTGCACACTGTTTAACCCGTGATTATTATCTCATGTTTCTGTGGTCCATTTATTACGACTGATGGGCCAATCTCTATTATTATTAAAGTCTGTAGTTTACATTAAGAAGCCCTGGTGGCACAGTGGTTAAGCAGTCGGCTGTTAACCGAAAGGTTGGTGATTCAACCCTCTCAGCCACTCTGCAGGAGAAAGATGAGGCCGTCTGCTCCCATAAAGATGTAAGGACTTGGGAATCCTATTGGGCAGTTCTGCTCTGTCCTATAGGGCCACTGTGAGTCAGATTCGGCTTGATGGCACCCGTCAACAGCACACCACGGTCCCGGGGAGTGTTGAGGTGGTTGTTGAAAGGTTCCAGGTTTGACGGGTGTCTAAGAGCCGTAGTCTCGGGGCTTCACCGTTCTCTACCAGACCAGTAAGTCTGGTCTTTGTTAGGATTTTGAATTTTGTTCTGCACTTTTCTCCCACTCTGTCCAGGGCCTTCTGTTGGGCTCCTGATCAGAGCAGTCGGTAGTGGTAGCTGGCACCATCTCGTTCTGCTCTCAGGCTAGCAGGGGCTCTAGCTTGTGAGCTCCATTCGTCCATCAGACTAATTGTTTCCCTCAGTCTTTGATTGTCTTCACTCCTCCTTGCTCTGGCTGAAGAGACACCAATAGCTGTTTCTTAGATGGTCGCTCACAAGCTTTTAAGACCCCAGTCGCTACTCACCACAGCGGGATGCAGAACACTGACTTGACGGACTGTGTTATGTCAGTTGACCTAGATGCCCCCTGAGCCCCGTGGGTTTTGACAAACGTGTAATGGCACATGTCCATCTGTTGTCCATTCTTGCGTCGTGTTTCACTGTTTGTCTGTCCACCCTCCCTGTGAGTACACTTTTTACAGTTTAGTTGACAGTGTGTTAGGGTGTTTGCCATGATCTAGCCTACAGACGGTAGAGGCTGGTGAGTTCCCACGTGTGTGCCCCTATGTAACCATTGCCCAGAACAACACAGGATGATACGGATGCGTTTTGAAGAAAGCCCCTGGAGGCTCGGCTGCTGCTGGGGTCTCGTGTCACAGACTGGCCGTTGTTGCCCTTTCAGACGCCTAAAACGCCCTTGCAGAAAAGCATGGACAAGCTGGGGAGGCAGCTCACGCTCTTCTCGTTTATCATCATCGGTGAGTGAGGCCTGTCTGTGCTGGGCTCTGGGCTGCAGGGGTGCCCTGGGGCCGCCAGGGCTGTTTCTCAGGTACTTGCCGCTCACCTGGGGGAGGGTCGCAGTTGAGTGCGTAGACTGTCAGACAGCAACGAAGTGGCTTAGTCAGACCAGGTGAACTGCTGAGCAACAGCCCCTGCATTTGAATGGCCTAAATATTGAAATGGTATGTTGGTTCATTGGTAGAATTGGTGCCTCCCATGCGGGAGACCTGGGTTCCAGTCCCAGCCAGAGCAGCTCCTGGGCAGCCCTGCCCAGCTCTCAGTGGAGGCTCGTGCGTGGCTGGGACACGGGACAGGTTTCAGAGGCGCTTCCAGACTAAAACCAGGAAGGAAGGCCTGGAGGCCTGCTTCTGAAAATCGGCCAGTGAGAACTCTGGATCCCAACGGCCTGATCTTGTTGTGCACGGAGTCGCCATGAATCGAGGCCGATCCGTCAGCAACAAGACACAGGCTGCGCATGGCCTTGAGCCGTGTGGCCTCTGTCACCACGCCAGACAGCGTCTCATAGGTCTCAGCCCCAGACTCCATCCCCGTGAGGCTGCCTGGTCCCTTCACTGGCTCCTTGCTACTGTTCCAGCTCTGGCCTTAGTGCCCTGTGCCTTTCATTCCCGCCTTCAGGATCCGCCATTTCCTGACCAGAGTACATTCTCGGTTATGACTAGAGTTGAGTGAGTTGGTGAAAGAACCAGCCAGCAAGCCACTGCCCATAGCACAGACAGGGATGTAGGCCATCGGGGGGTCCGGCTGAAAGTGAAGAAGCAGGGACTTGTTGGGAGAAGCACAGACCCTCCTTACAGCACTTGGCTGTGTGTCCTCTGATATGCCAGACCCCGTGCCCAGTTGTAGGGCCACCATGATGGGTGGAACTGTTTATGCCCTTTGAAGGCCCCCAGTGCAGTGGGAAGGACCCCTGAGCAAATAGGAAATGCTTAGGCAGCTGCTGGTCTTCGGTGGGAGGGTTGAGGAGTTCCCAGGAGGACGTGGTACTAAACTCTGGCTCTGCTCTGGCGCATGGAGGTCTCTGGCGAGAGATTGCGCTGTAGTAGCAAGTGCTGCCCTTCCTGCCTCAGCACCCCAAGGACAGCCAGCGGGTAGATGTGCTTCTGGGCAGACGGTCGAAGAAGACACTATGTGTATTTTTTAACTTTTTATTGTGATGTGAGTGAATGTTTACAGAGAAAATGGGGTTTCCATTTAACAATTCATACACATAGTGTTTCATGACATTGACCACCACTCCCACGATGTAACAGCTCTCTTCCCGCTTCCTCCCTGTGTTTCCTGCTCCCATTCATCCTTGTTTCCTGTCCCTTCCTGCCCTCTGAGCTTCCTTCCCAGGCAGATGTGGCCCTTTGGATCTCAGCTGGTAGATGGTTGTAGGGAGTGAGCACCTCCTTGGTGTTACTGTTCACCTTATGGGCCTGGCTGTTGTTTGGCTAGAAGTTCAGCCATGGCGGTGGGTTCAGTTCCAAGCTTGAAGGATGTCTAAGACCCATTGTCTTGGGTTCAACCAGTCTGCCGGACCAGTAAGCCTGGTCTTTTTTTTTTGTGATTTGGAGTTTTGTCCCACATTTTTTCTCCCACTTTTCAGGACCTTCTAATGTGATCCCTTTCAGAGAGGTCGGTAGTGATAGCTGGGCACCATCTAGTTCTTCTTGTCTCAGGGTGGTGGAGGTGGAGGGCCATGTGGTCCATTAGTCCTTTGGACTAATGGTTTCCACGTGTCTTTGATTTTCTTTACTTTGCATCAGACAGGGAGAGACAAATGGTTGCCCCTTAGATGGCCGCTTGCGAGTGTTTAAGCCTCCAGCCACTACTCACCAAAGCAGGAGGTGGAACTTTGTCTCTGTGCACTACGTTATGCCATTTGACCTTAACGTTCCCCGAGACTGTGATCCTGCGCCCCCCTGCCCAGAGACTGATTCCCTCAAGGTACTTGGTGGTGAGCAAGTCTTCTTGACTTTGCCCCTGTCAGCTCTACTGTATGTATGGACATTTTTACACACATACAAGTACGTGTGTAGAAATATCCTCAGCCAAACCTATATGGTCGCGGGTATAGTCTCAAAGAAGATAGTGTTCACAGGCCTTGCAGCAGATGAAATTTAAAAAAAAAAAACCTGGAGACAACTCACGGGGTGGGAGTGCATAGAGGGACGTACACAGGGAAGAGGTAACTGTCGGGAGCTAGTGGGAGGGGAGCTGTTGCATTGTGGGAGATTGCAGTCAGTGTCATGAGACAAAGTGTATGAACTGGTGAATGGAAGATGAATTTGCCCTGTAAACCCAAAACACAATACATTTTTAAAAGCTCTGAATCTGAGGTCCTGGCGCTGCCATCATTGGCCGTGGTTTCTCAAGTTAAATTTGTTGTTGTTGTTGTTTGCCGTCGAGTCGGCCCCGACTCATAGCGACCCCTCCTTGGGTTTCCGAGGCAGTATCACTACGGAAGTAGGATTGCCCAACCTTCCTTCCGAGGAGTGGCTGGTGGGCTTGAACCGCCAGCCCTCTGGTGAGCAGTCAAGTGCCTTAGGCACTATGCTACCAGAGCTCCTTTAGAGCCTCATGAAACTAGCACGTGTGTGCCATGGTGCTTGACGCCGCAGCTCTGCCTGTTTTTTGGTTAACAGTCAAAGAGCTGCTCTAGCAGGGTGGGGGGTTTTGAAACTGGATGTCACGGTGCAGGTGGTTTGAATGTATGCCGAGGTGCCTCGGAAGACAGGTCTGGCAGCCTACTTCTGACAAATGAGCTCTTGGAAGCCCTGTCGAGGTGCTCTAACACACACAAGGGCACTGGGAGTTGGAGCCAATTCAGCGGTACCCGCTCTGAGTTTCCTAGGGCGCTGTCACAACACGGGGGGGGGGGGGCGCTCACAAGAAGAAGTGTCCGGTCTCAGTTCTGGAGAACGGGGGTCAAAGCCAGTGTCGGCAGGGCCATGTTCTCTCCAAAGGTTCCAGGGAATGGCCCTTTCTTGTCTCTCTCACCTGCTGGGGTCCCAGGTGTTCTCGGCTTGTGTCTGTGTGAGTCTGTCCTCAGACGGCCATTGGCCTGTCTCTCTGTCTCTCCTTCATTGTAATTGGATTAGGGCCCACCTTCCCCAGGGCAGTACACACGATTAACACGCTTGAATGCTGTCCGACAATGTGCCATTGAAAACCCCGTGCAACACAGTTCCACCCTGACACACATGGGGTATGAGTCAGAGCTGACCCAACGGCACTTGGTTCTGATTGGTAAACTGTGAGACAGAAGCTTGAGGAAGGCACCGGCATCGTTCCCTTTTCACAGAAGAGGAGACCAAGGCCATGCCTGCCAGCTCCGGAGCCTGCCCCCATTCTCAGAGCTTCTTGTGGACTTTCATGTATCCCAGCTAGGCTCAGACCCCTCCCTCTGCCTCGTGGGTACATCTGAGGGGAGAGGGTGGGCTTCCTTCTTATTCAAGAGATTTTGGGAAAAGTGTACTTGCTGGCTAGTACGCATCTGTAAGGGCTCAGTGAAGGAGAAAGTAGGTGAGAGAACATATCAACATGAACACTGCAGGGTAAGATAATTTAAGGAACAGCGGCCCACCTGCCCATCCCCAGAGCAGGCGCCAGCCGCCACGTCAGCCACCCCACGGGGGAGCCCGGGATGCACATGGACACTCTCTGGAAAGACACGTAGACATTCACACACAGCCCCAAATAATCCAGGTCCCAGTGTCTTCCCAGCACTTGAACTTAGTCCTTTCCTGTAAGAATACAACCATGCTTTTGGTGCGTATGAAAGCGTCTTCCTTACGACAGACAGAGAAAGTACTAAGGTCACGGAATCGTCCCCTGCGTTGTGTCCCGGTGACTCGGGGAAGGCAGACGCGTGCTTGCTCGCTGGTGAGTGTGCCCGCCGTCCTCCGTCTGCCTGCAGGTCTGATCATGTTTGTGGGCTGGCTGCAGGGGAAGCCGCTGCTCAGCATGTTCACCATCGGTGTCAGGTGAGGCAGGGGGTCCAGGGGCCGAGGACAGAGACGCCACGGTCTGTCACACCCCCCCATTTCTGACTTCTTGCCTTCACCTTCCTTTTTCACCGGGCTCCCCTCCACCACCCCGTCCCTGCACCCCCTCCCCACCCACGGTAAACGCACCATTGCGAGCTCTCCGCTCTGGACTCTCAAAGGCGAGGGTTTTCCGTCCTCCAGCTTCGGGCCACGAGGATGTGCTGAACCAGAAGGTAGAGATGGCAGCACAGCCGGGGAGAGCTTCCCAAATAAGGCCCCTGAGAGTCGGCCTTTCCGTGCCTTCGTCCCTCACCCTTATGTGTCAGGTGACATCCCAGCTGATCCAAGGTCCTAGCTGCCGGGCCCCTTCCAGCGTTATTAGTTGGTGGGTTAACTTGTTTGTGATGATGGAAGTGCCCAAGTATCTGCAAAAACGCCCTTCCACCCATGTAGGGAAAGGCCTAGAATAACCCACTGCAAATGGTGGCTTAGCTTGTCCTGCCGGCCCGTGCCACAAAACCGAGGGCGCCTAACTGACGTCACCATGGAAACTGGGCACAAGGCCTTGGCCAGATTCATAATGTTGGTCCATATAACGTGTCCCTGAATAGTCTCTGGCCTTGGGGTGAGAGGTCACCATTCAGGTCCCATCTCTCTGTGATCCTAAGAGTCTCTGTTCTTTCTCACACTTCCGTTGCTGGGAAATCAAACTGCTGCTTTTACGAGCTGCAAATGGGAGAGCCTTGTGCCACTGACTGACTCGGTTTTTTTTTTTTTGTTTGTTTTGTTTTTGTTTTTAACAACAAAACCTGCAATTGTCTTGAATGTCACTCAACCCATAGTGTGAGGGATAGTGTCAGAAAGGGTGACACGCACTTGATTGATTTTGGAAATTCTTTCTCACTGGCTGTTCTGTGCCAAGTCCCCCATGTCAGGACCTGCAACACTTTGCGAATGGGCCCATTGGAGCCCCTCACTGGGGTGGGGAGATGGTGACACTCAGGGTACAGTGCCCAGCAAAGCCCCCTCTTGTTCACCTCCACTCTGTCCCCTGTGGGCTGGAGGTCAGTAGAAAGTCATAAACCTGTTGGTCCCAGTGTCCTGGAGCCTTGGCCAAAATGGACACAGGAGACCCTCTCTGCATCCTGTTGTCTGCCTGACACGAGCAGCCCACAGAGTGGGCCACCCCATGTGCCTCTGTCCCCATCCAAATTCCCAAGAGAGACTCTCATTGGCTCACCTTGAGTCATATGCCCTCCTCTCATCCAATCAACCATGGCTATGAAGGGGTGCATGGTGCAGAAACAGTTGGAGGGCTCATAAAGAGAACAGACACCCTTAAGCACACATACTGTAATGGCGAAGACCTTGGCCTCCCTCAACTCTGATTTCCTCAACTGGCTTCCTCACAGGAACTCTGTAGGCCACTGAACCTCTTGCTAGCAAGTCAGTTCCAACCCATAGTGACCCTATAGGACAGGGTGGTTTCCTCGGCTAGGACAGAGTAGACCTGCCCCGTAGGGTTTCCAAGGCTGTGATCACTGCAGGAGCAGACTGCCACGTCTTCCTCCTGTGGAGTGGCTGGGGGTTCAAACCACCAACCTTTTGGTTAGTGGCCAAGCCCTTAATTACTGTGCCACCAGGGCTCCTTCCTTAGGTCTGTAGACCAATAAGTAAAACTCGAGGGGCCCAGGGAGCATCCTCAGAACTGAAAATTCCACTGCCCACGGATTTCCTGATTCTGGAAATTCCCTTCCCGAGAACCAAAGCCTTTTCTCTCCTAAAATGAGAATAATTTAAACGCAGAACTCCTGAGGGGAACCGACTGATAGAGTAATTAACACTACAGTGTGGGGGACTAATGTAAGAGAGCCCTTCCCAAGAGCAGGTGTTTGCAAGAGGAGAGCTCAGAGCTGTGGGTGCTGACAGAGGAGACGAGAGCATGACGGGATTGGGAATGGAGGCTAGAAGGGGTGGGAGTCCCAGAAACCCCAAAGACGACTTTTATCAGCACACAATGTTGCCCCTCCCACTTGAGATTCACCTGGTCTTCACGTGTGTGTGCCAAAAGTGACCGGTCTGACCTCCCCCCAGCCTGGCTGTGGCTGCCATCCCAGAGGGCCTGCCCATTGTCGTCATGGTCACGCTGGTCCTGGGAGTGCTGCGCATGGCGAAGAAGCGGGTCATCGTGAAGAAGCTGCCGATTGTGGAAACACTAGGTGAGGGGCTCGCACACGGCTGGGCCTGAGCAGACAGACATCTGGATGTTGTGTAGCCCAGCCTGGGTGTTTCATAAGCCCAAGATGGCGGTGACAACTTCTTTGTCCATAAACTCTGATATGGGGTTTGATGGTCCCAGGTTGCTGCAACATCATCTGTTCTGACAAGACGGGGACTCTGACAGCCAATGAGATGACGGTGACCCAGCTGGTGACGTCCGACGGGCTCCATGCTGAGGTGAGTCCCAAAAGAATTCATGAGGTTTAAGACTGAGGTTTGCCATGCCAGGCACTCTCTTTCCCCGGGCTGAACCTATTCAGCCCAGTTCAGTCGTGGCCCAGGGAGCGACAGTGGAAGAAACCTGAAGTTTTCAAATTTGGGTGAACTGGAGTGATAATCAGAATGGGATTACGGGTCACCACCCCACTGGGAACCACGTGGGGCAGTGTGTGTGTTGCATATCAACCAATTTCTTGCCTGTGGAGTGGGAAACGCAGTGCCCTGCCCAAAGATGGCGGCTGACGGTGCCATTTTGAATGTGTGTCACTCTCCACAGTGCTGCCAATCATCTGATTCCCATGTTCAGGCTCCTGAAAGGGCTCACTTCACCTCTTCTGAGTCTCCTGTCCAGGGCTTTGACCCATGGTTTTTGTTTTTCTTTTTCCATTGCAGTTATCATTCCTGTTCTCCTAAATTTTAAAATTCTGGGTCTCTTCTGGTTTTGCTTCATCAGCCATGACTGTAGCACTTTGAAAACTTGATTTCCTAGACCAGGCATGTGGAAACTTCCAGAAACCAAGGAAGAAGTAAATTTGAGTGATTGTAGCCCGTAGTGGCTACTTGCATATGCACTTGAATATAATTGACTTAAAATGGGATCTTTTATTTTTTCATTTTTTGAACACCATCAAGTTAATATAGCACATTACACAATGTAAAAGATAGAAAACAATTCCCCATCAGCTCCCGTGATAAAGTTACTAAGATCAGTCCTTCTGGGTTTTCCCATCACATTTCTGTGATTTTGGCCCAGCTATAAGCTCCCTGACTGTGAGGTTTTGTATTTTGCTTTCCCCTACATAACACACACACACATACACACACATACAGCTTTCTAGATCAAGGCTTGGGCAATTATTGTCTGTGGGTCACAGCCTATTTTGGAAAATAAAGTTTTATTGGAACATAGCCATACCCGTTTAATTATGTGTTGTCGGTTTTTGCACTGTAATGGCAGATTTGAGCAGTTTTAATGAGACTTAGAGACTCCAAATTCTAAAACATTTGCTGTCTGGCTCTATAACAAAGCGACCTGGTGGTGCTGTGGTTAAGTGCTCAGCTGATAATCAAAAGATCTGAGGTTTTAACCCACTAGCCGCTCCATGGGAGAAAGATGAAGCAGTCAGCTTCTATAAAGATGACAGCCTTGGAAGCCCTCTGGGGCAGTTCCACTCTGTCCCCCTGGGGCGCTGTGAGTCAGCATTGACTTGAGGGCAGTGGGTTGGGTTGGGTTGGGTTGGGTTGGGCTCTACGGTTAAGTGTGCTGAGCCCATAAGCACTCTTCTATGCTATTACTTGGTTTTCTTAGCCATAGTTATTGGCTGCAGAATGTTCCCTGGAGCAGACATTGCAATTCACTAAAGCGTGGTGGTATCGTTAGCCCACACAGTGCTGAAATTAGTAAATAATCCTGTTCCCTCGTCATTACTCAAACCTGGGTCTGTGTTTCGGATTTCACCCTTGGGACTGATCCCCAGGAGACAGATTTTGGGTCAACAGGGGGAGCCTGCTTTTGACAGCAACACTGCCACTGGTGACAGCCAGCCTTCTATCTTTCTCCCCTACAGGTCAGTGGGGTTGGGTACAACGGCAAGGGGAGTGTATGTCTCTTACCGTCTAAGGAAGAGCTGAAGGAATTTTCCAACGTCTCAGTGGGAAAGTTAGTGGAGGTGAGTGTCAAAAGGACCCTGGTGGTGACATGCATTTAAGACGGGGCTTATGGTGATTCTCTGAAAAGAGAAACAGTGATTGTACCGACTCATTCCTGGTGACGACTAGGCCGCCCCAGCGTTAGGGATGCAGAGTTCCAGGGCTGGAAAAATTCCCCAAAGAGGTAAGAGAAGAGCTAGAACGCTTTCCACTGTCGCTCCTGTTAACTGCTCGAGTGCACGTCTGCAGCTGCTGTGCCAATTCATCTCACCGAGGGTCTCCCTCGCCCTCCGTGGGCCCCTCCTTCACCAAGAACAATGTCCTCCTCCAGTGAATGACCCCTTCTGAAGTGTAAGCTGAGAGTCAGACCACGTTCTTGGTTGACCCATAAGCTTTCCAGGGGCTAATGTTCAGACACATCCCCAGGCCTCTCTTCTGAGCCTTGGGCTGGAAGCTCTGCTGAAACCCGTCCCCCAGGGGTGACTCTGCTGGGATTTGAAATTCCAGTGGCATGGCTTCAGCATCCCAGGCCACCACAGGAGGACAGATGGGGGGTGGATCCTTCAGAAGCAAGTCACGGAAGTCTAGCCAACCCTCAAGGACAGCGAGGCTCCACCTTTTGAGGGGACACTGTCAGACACCTTGGGGGTATATTCTACACCTATCAAATAGTCACTGTGTATTTCCTGTGTTTATCTGGAAGAGTGAGTATCATCCCTTAGTCCCATCCCCCAAAGTGGACCAAGCCTTCAACGACTCACTGGTGGCCATGCCTGCTCAAGTCCTTCCTAGAGACACTAGGCCCTTCTCTCCCACAGGCAGGCTGTGTGGCCAACAACGCTGTCATCAGGAAGAACGCAGTGATAGGACAGCCCACAGAGGGGGCCCTGATCGCCCTGGCCATGAAGGTAGGGTCTCTGGTGGTCCGTGCTGGATGTCCTCTCTCTGAGCTGGGTCGGTAGCAGAACCCAAGCTCCATCTGAGTGAAATGGGAGGGATGGCAGCGACCCCCCGTGGTCAGGGGTGCCGACAGGTGCAGGTGGGAACTGTAAGACACTGTGTCATGTGGCACATGGTATCCATCCATCTCTCTTTAGTGATGTTGATTTCTTTTTATTGTGAAAACATATGACAAAACATTTACTGCTGCAACAGTTCCTTTATATCCAACCCAGTGACCCTGATGCCATTCTTCAAGTGGTGTACCCATAGTCCCCCTCCCCCTCTAAATCCTTCCTCCATTGTGAAGAAACTAGTACGTCCCAAACGAAACATCCCGTCCCCTCCCTCCCACCCTGGTGACCACCGATGAGCTCTGGCTTCTCTATCTGCTTCCTTTTTGTAAGTGAGGTCATCCGTGTCCATTTGCCACTGACTGGTTCTACTCGGCATGATGCATCTGGGGTTCACTTGTGTTGCGACATGCATCAGGCCTTCATGTCACTTCATGGCTGAGTAGCAGTCCCGTGTGGATGGACCACGTATTGTCTTTCCATCACCTGTTGCTAAACATTTCCATTGTTTTTGCCTTGGGGCTGTTGTGGAAAGTGCCGCAGTGAACCCTGGTCACAGGTTTCTGTGTGTGTTCCCACCTTCCCTTCTGGGTGTCTGCCTTGGATCGGGAGGCTGGCTCATGTAGTAGTTCTGTGTTCGACTTTTCGAGGACCCTCCAGGCTGTTCCCCACAGTCTGTACCATTTCACATCCTCACCAGCAGTGGACAAGCATTCTGGTTTCTCCACAACCTCGCTAGCAGTGTTTCCCAGTTTTGTGTTGTGTTTTTGATCACTGCCCTCCTCCTGGAGGTGAGGTAGTGTCTCATTGTGGTTCACATGCTTGTGGGCTACTCAAGTGTCCTCTTTGGTGAAATATCAAGCCCTTTAGTAGTTTTTTGATTGGGTTATCTTTTTATTGTTAAGTTGTGGAAGTTTTTTTTGTTTGTTTGTTTGTTTGTTTTTAATAATTTTGGCAAGTAGACCCTCTGCCCACCCCTTCAAATATTCCTTAGAGCCCCAGGCTTCCAGGCTTATGTCTGGTGTCACACTGGCTGTGTCCATGTGTCCACCCATCCCTCTCTTCACCTCCACTTCCTGCCCACATCATGAGGCCTGGCACAGAGGGACATTCCAAAGCCTCTGCGGGCAGGAGGTGGAGTGGGGAGACTGAGTGTCCTTTTGCTAATCCCTGTGAAGGCAATGGGCTGCTTCACCCCCACACAGTTGTTGTTGTTGTTATATGCCGTCGAGTCGGCCCGACTCATAGCGACCCCTCCTTGGGTTTCCGAGGCAGTATCACTACGGAAGTAGGATTGCCCAACCTTCCCACACAGTAGCAGGAAGAAGTTACCATGCCTTGCTCTCTTCCTTCCTCTCACTCCGCAGAACGTCATGATGGTGAGTGGGACTTAGACACTTGCTTTCAAGTTGGTTCCGACTCCTAGAGACCCACGTGTGTCAGAGCAGAACTGTGCTCAGAGTTGTCAGTGGCTGACTTTGGAAACTGTCACCAGGCCTTGTCTTCTGAGGTACCTCAGTCAGGTCTTGAACTCCCAGACTTACCGTTAGCAGCCAGGCACGTTAACCAGCTTACACCACCCAGAGACTCCAAGTGAGGCTTAGACTCCCTTGAAATAGTGCTCAGCCCTATTGTAAACCCCCACCGTCCAGCAGGAAGCCATGGCTCAGCTAGGACTGAAACCCTGGTGACAAGTGCCCACCTGCTCCTGCCACTGGGCTGGGCAGGAGCAGAGGTTCTAGAACCATCTCTCCTTTGTGTTATGATTTCCTTCTTTCACAGTCCTAAGCACATCCCAACAACTATTCTGGGGGCCTAGCCTCAAATGTCAGTGTGCACCCTGTAGGACAAAGGAGCCCTGGTGGCACCGTGGTTCAGGTGTTGAGCTGCTGACCAAAAGAGCAGTTCAAGCCCATAGGCACTCTGGGAGGAGCAGGAGGGAGTTTGCTTCCATAAAGATTCATAGTCTTGGGAATCCTATGGGGCAGTTCTACTCTGTCCTGTAGGGCTGCCGTGAGTCAGAACCAACTCGTTGGCAGTGGGTTTGGTGATTTGGGTGTAGGAGAGCAAAGAGCACCTGGCACGTATTAAGCACTTACTGTGTGCAGGTGCCATGCTGGGTGCTTTGTGTACACCATGTCATTCATCATCTCATGACCTGGAGAGGTTAGGACACTAGTGTTTGATCCATTTTTCCATTACTGTCCCTTCGGGAAGCCTGGTTAACCTGTTTTCCCCTAGCCACCCCCCATGAAAGTTTAGGAACACAGATACACTGTCCATCTGTTTAGGTCCTCTGTGTGTGTGTGCGTGCATGCACTTTACACGTATAGTACATGTACAGTAAGATTTTGTACTTTGTAAGAAGCCATTTTTGCCTCCTTGGGAGTGATGGGGGTGCAGGGGTTGGGACTAGTTTACAGTTGGGGCAACTGAGACTCAGAGCTGTCATGTAACTGGCCCGAAATCTGTCAAGGAACAAGTCAATGGCAGAGCTGGCCTGGGAGCCCAGGCTGCTGGCCTGTTACAGCCACCTCACTGGCCCAGGGGAGGTAGGAGTCCTTTTTGGGAAGTGGCTACGGCTCCAGTCAAGAGGAACCCCTCATTTTCTGGTTGGGTTGTTTATCTTTTTCTTGTTAGGTTGTAGGAGGTTGGTTGGTTGGTTGTTTGAAGTAATCTGGTTGAGTGCGAACAGTTCGGCACTCGACAGCTAACCTAAAGGTTGGCGGTCTGAGCCTAGGCAGACACCTCAGAAGAAAGGGCTGGTGATCTCTTCTGAAAATGCAGCCACTGTCAGCCCTGTGGAGTGCGCTTCTGCTCTGAGACATACGGGGTCACCATGACTCAGAGTCGCCTGGACAGCAGCTCAGTGGTCAGGTCTAGACCAGGTCTCCACAGACCTTCACCGGCAGGTGGTGAGAGTTTCAGGTAGAGCTGTAGCAGAAGCCAGCAGGTTCCGCCCCAGGACGAGACGAAACCAGTGGCCTGGCCTCGTGGGACATGTGAAAGCATGTGGCCTGGGGGTGCTCGGGTTGCCCTGGGCCCTGAGAGGGTGTGAGTGACAGAGCCTTCACGCCGACTGAGCCTCCGAGCGCCTCACCAGACACCTTGCCCGCTGTTCCTAGATGGGCTTAGGGGACGCCAAAGAGTCCTACGTGAGGAAACAGGAGATGCCATTCAGCTCGGAACAGAAGTGGATGGCGGTGAGATGCAGCCCGAAGAACGAGGTGGGTGTGCAGCGCGCCTGCCCCTTCCCAGCCCACGAGCGTCAAGCAGAACGCAGCCGGCAGAGGCTGGCAGGTCCCTGGGCCACTTCCGTTGTGGTTGCCATGTGCCGTGGAGTCGGTTCTGACTCACAGCCCGTGGGACAGAGGAACAGCCAGGGCTCTCTCCTGTGAGCCCCTGGGGAGACGTGGACCACCCACCATCCATCCAGTCAGCAGCCGAGTGTCTAACCATTTCACCACTGGGCTCCTTTGGACTGTTTTTCTTTCTTTGTGCTTTCAGTCTGTCTTCACATTTGTATAATGCTTTGCTTTTCTTTCTTTTTCTCTTTCATTGTGGTCTGGGTGAAATTTATGGAGCACAGTGGTTTTCTGTTCAACAGCTTTCACACACTTTGCATCATGTTATTGGTTGCAATCCCCGCAGTTAACAGCCGTTCCTCCCTGGTTCCCCATTTCCATCTGTCCTTCTTTCCTGCCCCCTCCTGCCTTCTGAGCTTTGTTTTGGGGCACACGCTGCCCTTTTGATCCCATATGGTTGGTTGGTCTAAGGAGTGCATACCTCCCTGGTGTTACTAGGGGTGAGTTCACCTCCAGGTTTGGAGGCTGACTAAGGGCCACAGGCTCAAGGGCTCCCCAGTACCTGTCAGACCAGTGAGTCTGGTCTTTGTTGATGTTAAATTTGTCCTGCATTTCCTTTCTCCCTCTGTCCAGGACTTTCTCTTGTGGTCCTGATCAGAGTGGATTTGGGCTATTTCTCTGAGTCCAAACAGGAAATAGTGTTTATAAACAGCTAAAACGTTAAATGACCTGCGTAATATACTCAGCATTTTGTTCAGACAGCGGTTCTCAGAGTAGGGGTCCTGCTGCATTGGCATCACCAGGGCATTTGCTAGAAATGCCGTTTCAGGCCCCCAGCCCCCCACTGCATTGGATGGCCTAGGGGTGGAGCATGAGCATTCCCTCCCCCCCACACACACACACTGCATTGGATGGTCTGGGGTGGAGCCTGGCACCCCCCCACACACACACACACTGCATCAGATGGCCTGGGGTGGACCCTGGCACGTCCCTCACACACACACACACACACACACACACACAGTGCATTGGATGGTCTAGGGGTGGAGCCTGGCACGTCCCACCCCACACACACACACACTGCATCAGATGGCCTGGGGTGGAGCCTGGCACGTCCCTCCCACACACACACACACACACACAGTGCATTGGATGGTCTAGGGGTGGAGCCTGGCACATCCCCCACACACACACACACACACACAGTGCATTGGATGATCTAGGAATGGAGCCTGGCGCCCCCCACACACATACACATACACACACTGCACACACACACGCTGCATCGAATGGTCTGGGGTGGAGCCTGGCGAGCTGAGTTAGCTGGAGTTTTGAGGCTGGTTCTAGCGTGGGACCCTCCCGCCAGAGTAGAAACAAGTGACTACTCCCGAGCAGCCGCAGTCCCATGGTGAGTACTGCCGGTGACCTGAACCCGTCTTCCGGCCCTGTGCCGAGTGAAGGGCCGCCTGCACGCACGGGAGCACCTGGGACAAGGGGTCTTCTTCCTCTGCTCTTTTTCCAGGGGCAGGAGGACGTGTACTTCATGAAGGGGGCCTTCGAGGAGGTGATCCACCACTGCACCACGTACAACCACGGGGGCATTCCCCTGCCCCTGACGCCCCAGCAGCAGGCGCTCTGCAAGCAAGAGGAGAGGAGGCTGGCCTCACTCGGCCTGCGGGGTCAGTGGCCGGGGCTAGAGCTGCCGCTCTAACTGCCTGTCACACCGATGCTCTGTGTGTGCCGATGAAGGGTCCTTGATCAGTGAGGTGATCGATCGCGAGGGCAGTTGGGCTGCATGTGGAGGGTCAGAAGCAAGCTTGGAACTGAGTTGCCGGTCAGGTGCTGCTGAGTCAACTCCAGCTCAGGTGTCTGAGTCGGACTGAACCCACAGGGTTTCCGATGGCTGACTCGTCAGAAGTAGCCGGCCAGGCCTCTGTTCCGAGGCGCTCTGGTGGACTTAAACCCCCCACCTTCCGGTTAGCAGCTGTTCACCTTTGACGCCACCCAGAGACTCCCAGAAGTGAATAGTTAGGTGATCCTCACTGGAGGACTAAGAGCCCCACCCAGCCGCTGAATGGGAACCGCTAACCCATGTGTGTCTTACGTGTGTGAAGAGGGGACGCTCCTGCCCGCAGTGAGCTGTCCAGAGGGTGAACGTGGTACCCTGAAAATGCTGCTTCTCCCCCCATGTCGCTCGTTGCCTCATCAGGAAAACCAAGGGCTCTTTTCAGCCTAGGAAGGCGTGTCATCGCTCGGCTGTTTTCAGTGTTCTGCACCAGCACCGATGCCTGTCTGACAGGCTGAGTGTGAAAGCCCACGTCCCCTGTGTGGCCACGTCACGCCCCTCGTCTGCCCTCAGAGAAGCTGTGCAGAACACCCAGCACCCTTGAGTACCCTCCAGGAGAGTGACAGGCAGGGGGCTTCACATGGGTTTGGATACTTGTCCCCAGCAGGGAGCAGACAGGGTTGATTGCTGGGTGCCTGCAGGGGGAGGTGGGTGCCGCCGCTACTTGCTGGGGCACAGCCACGTCAAGGTGGCGTTTCTTCATGAGGGCCAAGCCGTCCTCACCTCTTCTGAGTGAGAAGTGTTTCACACGTCTCAGGCTTCCCCCCAGGCAGTTTGTGCAGGGCTGGGTCTACAGGGAGAGCCCAGTGGTGAAGCACTCAGCTGCTACCAGAAGGTCGGCAGTTCAGACCCACCCAATAGCTCTGTGGGAGAGAGACCTGGCCGTGGGCTCCTGTAAAGGTTTACAGCCTGCAGAACGCCATGGGACAGTTCACTTTTGTCCTGTAGGGTTGCTAGGAGTTGCGATTGACTCAGTGGCCCCCAGCAACAACAGGAAGTCCACAGTAAGCCCCTGGGTAAACGTACCTCAGTCTCCTCACCTGCTGAAAGCAGACATGACAGCAGTTTCCTCGTGGGGTTGCTGTGAGGAGCCAACGGGCCACTGGACAAGGGGGCTGGGGGGATCTGGGATGCCTTTAGCTACTGCTGCTGTCATTACTGACAGCAAGGTAAAGTGGCTACACCTTGTGGTCACCTAACATTGATGCCAAGTCACTTTAGGGTGGAGAGATTGCTAGGTAAAACCCCCACATCACTCTGGGACCTGCTGGTTGGCTGGCCAGCCAGCTGAGGTCCCCCATGCCCCCGTGAACCTCTGTGCGTCTCGGTCTCTCCTCAGTGCTGGCTCTGGCGTCGGGGCCCGAGCTGGGGCAGCTGATGTTTCTGGGCCTTGTCGGAATCATTGACCCACCGAGGGCTGGCGTGAAGGAGGCGGTCCAGGTCCTCTCCGAATCAGGCGTGTCCGTGAAAATGATCACGGGAGATGCCCTGGAGACAGCCCTGGCAATAGGTAACTGGGGATGGGGGTGAGGAAGGACCCAGCCCGACGCCTCACAGCCTGGTGCTACCGCTGGCTGACCCTGGCGCACCTGGCCAGGAAGGTGCACACTGGGTTTCTTCGTGCTTAGAAGCTGTTGAGATTTCTAGACCAGTGCCCCTCTCTCTAAGGAGTTCCTGGTCTCCACTGTGCAGGCAGGTTTCCCCAAATGGGAGAAGAGACCATGTCTTTGAAGACCTACTATGTGTCGGGCTTTGTTTAATCTTCACAGGCAGTACCTTTTCCAATACACAGTTCCAAGCTGGCTTATACCACTAGCTGTGTGCCCTTGGCAATTGACTGAACCACTCTGACCCTCAGCCTCTTCATCCCCAGAGAGCTGGCAACCCCCCTCCTGTGACCATCATGGTCAAGAAGGCTCTTGCACCCTGGTTTCTGCCCACTCTGTCTGAGGCAGCCTGGCATTGTAAAAAGATTGGATTCTAGGATCAGCCTCCAGGCTGTGTGTGACCATTCTCTAGCTGTGTGACCTCAGGGAGACCACACCCCTCTTGGCTTCCTCATCTTTAAGGTGGGGATGGTAGGCCTTTGTGGCAGGAGCTGAGGTCACGCAGGTGAAGGTGTGGCACACGGGCACAACAGCAGCGACCATCTTGGTTTTCTGCACGGTCTTCTCAGTGGCCATCGAGGGACTGATGTCAGGAATACGGAGGGAGGGACTGGGGTGGGGAGGGGACAGTCTCAGGCCTTGGAGCATGCCCTTAGGACTGGTTCTCTCCAAGGAAGAAATATTGGCCTGTGCAACGGGCAGCTGAGGTCCATGTCTGGGGCAGAGGTGGACAGCATGGAGGAGGGCGAGCTGGCTGAGCACGCCAGGAAGGTAGCGCCTCTGGGGCCTGGGGCGCTGGGGGGAGGTGTCAGCCACGCAGTCACTGAGGCTCTGCTGCTGCTTTGTCCCCAGGTCTCCGTATTCTTCAGGACCAGCCCAAAGCACAAACTCAAACTCATCAAGGTATGTGTGCAGAGCAGGGCTGGTTCTCCTCCTGTCACAAGGCCCCAACTTCAGGGGCCTGGCAGACGGAAGCGCATCACTCCCCCGGCTCACAGTCCAGGGTGCCCGAGGCCTGAGCTGGCTGGGCTCTCCCCGCTCAGAACCTGGCCGCCTCATTGGAGCCAAGGCAGTGGTTCTGGCTCTGGAGGCGCTTTGCACAGCTGGTGGGAGGGGTAGGGAGCACATCACACACTCACATACCATTGGCTGTGCTTCGTCAGGTGGCCCTGTCCAGCCGCAGGGGATGCTGGGAAGTGTCAGATCTACTGGGTGGCTCTGTGCCCCGCATACTAAGGAGCTGGAACTGGGTCGTGAAAAGTCAAATCAGACAGGGTGCTCCTTATTGTTAACTCACCTAACTTAACTCTGCCTTAGTTTCCTCGGCTGTAAAGTGGGGATGATCCTAATGCTGTCAGCTAGCCCCCAACGTTGGTGAGAGAGTGAACGAAGTCATGGTTGAGGCCACGGCCCTGTGCCTGGCCCACAGCAGGTGTCTGATGGAGAGAGGTGGTTTTCTGATAGTACATCTAAGAGATGGGATGTTTAGAACCAAGGACCCCAGCCCCTATCTTCATCTTCCTGGCCCTGTGTTTGTTATCACTTGTTGGTAGTTGTGGGGTTTTTTGTTTTACTTTTCTAGAACAGATTTCAAGTTACCCTACAAAGAAAACGGATTTATAGGCCATCTCAGGGGACAAGTCATTGATGGTCACTAACTGTGACATTCATAGAGCCTTTACTACAGGCTAGGCATGTCACACTCAGTGTCTTAATCCAGGCCCACAGCTGCCCCCCTTTTTCAGATGGGGAAACTGAGGTTGAGAAATTCAAGCATTTCCCTGAGTTGCCCAGCTGGCCAGCCCTGGGACCTGCGGGGGGGGGGGGTTGCTGTAGGTGACATGGTATGAGGGCAGTGCCGTGGGAGGAAGGAAGTTGCCCAGAAGGTGGCCTCCAGTTGCTGCTTCTGTCCAAAGGCCTTGCAGGAGTCGGAGGCAATCGTGGCCATGACGGGAGATGGGGTGAATGACGCGGTTGCCCTGAAGTCGGCAGACATCGGGATTGCCATGGGGCAGATGGGGACAGACGTCAGCAAGGAGGCCGCCAACATGATCCTGGTGGACGATGACTTCTCCGCCATCATGTAAGTTGCCCTGTGTGTGCGTGGGTGCATGCACCACCAAGGACGAAAGGCCGGGGGTAGCCGCCCCTCCTGGGTCAGCTGCCTGAGACGTGGAACAAGCCACGCAGGTGGTCCCTGCCAGAAGCGCCCAGAGGACCCTGAGGAGGGACAGCTTTGCCCTGTCACCGGGGTCAGTGTCCCGTAGCCTGAACACCAACACTCCCCTTAAACAGAGTCAGGGGGCCAGTGAACCTCAGAGTTCTTCACCACAGCAACCCCTAGGGGTGGGGGCGGGGGCGGGGGCGGTCCACACCAGAGCAGACAAGCATACCTGCCCCAGGGAAGCCTGGATTGTGGGTGCAGTAAGAGCCTTGCATGTTGCAACATTACTCATCGAAGGACCCAGAACCATGGTACGTGAATGGGGTGAATGATGGGTTGCCAGAGCAGAGCCCATCCCGTAACGTTAAGTGTGGGTCTAGGGTTTGGGGTCTTGCATGCATCTTGTGTTGAGGATGGCCCCCAATCACTAACACAGGTGTGGTCTCCAGGTTCTCAGACAGAAGCAGTTTTTTGGTGTGCATTTTTTACTTTTCTGTGTTCTTAGCGAGTTGACCTTTCCTCTTGTTTCAATTCTGATTTTAAAGCACATGGTGGTAAAGAGTGGGGGTGGATTTTTGAAGGTGACGTTGAAACTCTGAACATACTAAAGTTTGGGGTGTCCATCCACTCTGTAAGAGGAGGCCTTCCCTTACCAGTGGATTGATCACTGGGGTCCTTTCCCCACAATGGAGTCCATCCTGGCTTAGCTGGGGGGAAAAGCCTGCTCTCACCTTGGCCACTAGTCACCTTCTAGTTCCTCTGTGGCTTTTCTGTTAAAAAAAAAAGGGGAGTCAGATGCTTTCTACTGTTATGTGCCATTGAGTCAGACCTGACTCAAAGCGACCCCTCCTTGGGTTGCCAAGGCAGTATCTCTACAGAAGTAGATTGCCCAACCTTCCTTCCCAGGAGTGGTTAGTGGGTTTGAACAGCCAGCCTTCTGGTTAGCGGTCAAGTGCCTTAGGTACTATGCCATTCTACTGTTAACTTAAAATCCAGTTTTTTAGGGCTTTCACAAACAGCCTTCTGAAAAACAAGTTGATGGTTCTCAATGTCCCCGGCCCTTCCCCCCGAGAACCTCACTGTCTGGTCTACCGGGGTTGCTGGGTTCATGGATGCCGGGAGGGAGGTGCCAGCACCAGGGGCTCCCAGTGGGAGGGAGGAGTCTAACTGGAAGTATGGAGGGTGAGCCTGATGTGGCTTGGGGCCCAGTCCCTACTGAGGGGGACGGCTGCAACATCTTGTACTGAGGAGGTGTGTCCACAAGAAGGCCTATGAGGGAGAAGTACAAGGGCCCCAAGCATAATGTGTCTGAGCTGGTGCCCACAGCATAAAGACTCCCCTCCCTTCCAGCGACGCCGTGGAGGAAGGCAAGGGGATTTTTTATAACATCAAAAACTTCGTCCGCTTCCAGCTGAGCACGTAAGTAGAGGTCAGCCCGTGTCGGGGTGCCACGTGCCTGCCCCCCCCCCCCGGGCTACAGGCCGTGCTCACAGCCGGCGGGGCCGCGCCCATGTCTGCAGGAGCATCTCCGCGCTGAGCCTCATCACGCTGTCCACTGTGCTCAACCTGCCCAACCCCCTGAACGCCATGCAGATCCTGTGGATCAACATCCTCATGGACGGGCCGCCCGCGCAGAGGTGAGGCTGCCCTTGGCTGCACCCCTGCCCAGCAGGGCGCCACATGGTGTCCCCACAGAGGGCAGTGTGACAGAGCTTGGGGGGGTGGGAGATGGGACTCTGCCTGCTCCAGGGTAGCGGGAGGCTCAGTCTCACCCTTCATCCAGGCCCCCACCTCCACTCAGCCCTCCCTGATCACTCTCCTCCCTGGCCCTGGGACTCCACTCATAACCAGCCCCCTACCCCGAATGTGCTCACAGAAGCAGGACATTTGTTTTGATGCCCACTGTCTCCCCAGCTCCCCGACTTTGCTTGGCTCATAGTAAGTGCTCAGTAATTACTGGTTAAGTGAACGAGAAGGGGATTCTGGGAGAGCCAGAGGGCAGCAGAGCAGGGCAGGTGGGAGAGTGGGTGCGGCCATGTCAGACGGGGCTGCTTTACCGCTGCTGTCACACTCTCTCCCCACCGTCACGGCCAAGGGCACAAGATTCCTCTGGGCCTTCAAAGCCCAGTGTGGGCATCACTTCTCCTCTGACCTCCCCAGGGGCAGGGACACCAGGAGCTGACCACTGCTGGTTCGAGTGGGCCCCGACCACCAGTGCCCCCGGGCTAGCCCTCAGCTGATGTGTTGAACTGTGGTCAGCGTGGTGGTGCCTTGCAGTGACTGGGCAGGGGGGCACTCAGCCCGGTCCCCCCACAGATGCTGACTCAAGGGCAGGGGGGTGAGGGCATCTGTCATTCTGTCTACTCAGTGCACACCCCGTGGAACTACCTTTTTCAATGGTTTATTCCAAAGTGTCCTGTGCTCCACACAGCCTGGGGATGGAGCCCGTAGACAAGGACACCCTGAGGCAGCCACCGAGGAGCATCAGGGACACCATCCTGGGCCGAGCCCTCATCCTGAAGATCCTGCTGTCTGCCAGCGTCATCATCAGCGGCACCCTCTTCGTCTTCTGGAAGGAGGTAACCACGTTCCCCGCAGGTGCCCAGCCTCACCCTCCAGGGCCACGGGGCTGCGAGGACAGACGTGAGCCTGGACACGAGGATGTGGGTCCCCTTGGAGAGTGGCAGGGGCTGGGGGGGGGGCCGTGAGTGACAGAGATCCGACCCCACCTGAAGGCAGAACCCATCCCGAGGGCACCCCTTTCAGGTGATGGGCTCCAGTGCGTTAGATGACTGGTGGAACAGCCCTCAGCTCCAGCACTCTACAGGGCAGAGTAGGACTGCGCTGTGGGGGTCCAAGGCTGTAGTGTTTATGGAAGCAGACCACCTCAGTCTTCTCTCGTATAGTGGCCCCAGGGATTCCTCTCGCTTCTGAGAGCGCCCAAGCTGGTCCTCCAAGGGCCTAGTTTTCCTTGGAGCTCGCTGTCTTCCTTTAGGATGGGAAATTCAGCGGGATCAGCCCAGGATTGGCACTGCTGGCTTGTAGGAGTACATTGCCTGGCCTTTCCTCCCATTCCGTCTTACTCATTGTGTGGGTGTCTCCTCCCAGGCAGATCCCCCGGCCCAAGAGCCAGTCTGCTCCTATAAAGACTGTTGTTAAGTGCCGTTGAGTCGTTTCCGACTCATAGCGACCCCATGCACAGCAGAACGAAACACTGCCCGATCCCGCGCCAGCCCCACAATCCCTGCTATACTTGAGCCCATCATCGCAGCCACCATGTCAATCCATCTCGTTGAAGGCCTCCCCCTCTTTCGTCGACCCTCCACCCTACCAAGCATGACATCCTTCTCCACGGAATGGTCCCTTCTGACAACATGACCAAAATAGGTGAGATGAAGTCTGGCCATTGTTGCTTCCAAGGAACATTCTGGCTTCACTTCCTCCAGGACAGATCTGTTAGTTCTTTTAGCAGTCCACGGTACTTTCAGCATTCTCCGCCAGCACCACAACTCAAAAGCATCAACTCTTCTTCGGTCCTCCCTATTCGTTGTCCAGCTCTCACATGCATACCAGGCAATTGGAAATATCATGGCTTGTGTCAGGCGCACCTTAGTCCTCAAGGAGATATCCTTAGTTAAAGACTGTTAGGTCCCCTCATTGCAACCCCCTGTGCAACAGAGCAAAACCCTGCCTGGTCCTGTGTCAGCCTCACAACCCTTGCTACCTGAGCCCATCATGGTAGCTACTGTGTCCATCCATCTCATTAAGGGCCTTCCCCCTTTTCTCTGACCCTCCACTTTCCCAAGCATATCATTTTCCAGGGAGTGATCTCCTGCAAAGATCAGAGCCTCAAAAAATAGCAACTCCACGTAATGGAGTAGGACCTTGCCTAAGAGTCAGAACAGAGTACACGGTACCCAGTACCACCTTAGCTCCTGGAGGAAGCGCCATCTCCTCACTGATCGCTGCTGTCCAGGTGGGGCAGCTGGGATGCTGAGGAGGGGTTACCAGCAGGAGGAGCGGCTGCTAACCTCGGCTGTGACACCCAGGAGCCCCTGAGGGCCAGGGCTTCTTGGTCAGTCTCCACCTGGAAAGTCCCCCCCTGTGCAGGCCTGCCTCCAGAATATTCTGCTCTGTCCCCAGGCTGGTGAATAACGGATTGTTCCACAGGGAATTTTAACTCCATCTTGGGCCTGTGTGCCTGTTTCAGACCCCTGCAGACAAGGCCAGCACACCACGCACCACGACCATGACCTTCACGTGCTTTGTGCTCTTTGACCTCTTCAACGCCCTGACTAGCCGCTCCCAGGTGAGATTCCCCGCAGGGCAGCACCTGGAGTGGGGGGCAGCGGGAGCAGTGCCAGGGTGTGCCCATGCCACTGCCTGCCCTCTCCTCCCCCAGACCAAGCTCATCTGTGAGATCGGCCTGTGCAGGAACCGCGTGTTTCTCTACTCGGTGCTCGGCTCTGTCCTGGGGCAGCTGGCCGTCATCTATGTGCCTCCCCTGCAGAGGGTCTTCCAGACGGAGAACCTGGGCGTGCTCGGTGAGCGGGGGTAGAAGCACACCGCCCAGGCTGCCTGCCTAGGAACAGCAGAGCTTTCTAAGCGCTGGGGGCCCGTGAAGGGACAGGCTGCTCCCACCTGGCTAGACAGGGCCGAGGTAGGGAGGGTCCCAGCTCAGCCTGTGATATGCACATGGCTCTACCCCCCGGGGTGATGGATGGTGGGAGGTCAGTGCCTACTCACCTGAAGCCCAGGAGTTGGCCTGTGGAGTGTTTACTGAATCACAGGCAGTTGGCTGCCCCTCCGCTGTGAGGCCCTGAGTCCTCCTGCGGGAAGCTGCCTAGCTGGGTAGGTCCCCCGTCTCCCTCCCTCATGAGGACAACAATGATCCATCCAAAGGCCACAGAGATGAACACTTTGATCTCAGCAAGGCAGGGGAACGCCTCTCTCTCCCCCATAATCTCAGGGGGCTCCTGGAGTGCTCTGTATCATCAGAGGAGAGACTCCCAAAGGGGACAAAAGGCTGCTGCCTTGCAGGGGGGACAAAGTCAGGTCCCCTGGCTCTTGGAAACTAAGGAATCACTGTCCCCAAGGGGTGTGCAAGGGTAGGGGAGTTAGGGCAACCAGGCAGACTGGAAGCTGAGGGGCGGGTCCAGGTGTCTGCACTGCCCCGTGCTGAGCTTTGCCTGGAAAGACGGACAGTGTTTCTGGAGCAGGTGCCAACATGCTCTGGCTCCCAGGGGAGCCCCCAGCCACTCTGCCTTTTGATGAATGAGGTGGTCCTGGCAGGGTGTCCTGGGAGGCCCTGTGCGGGCAAGGCTGCGGGTCCAGCCCGGGGTCTGATTCTGCTCACTCTTTGACAGACTTGCTGTTTCTCACGGGACTGGCCTCGTCTGTCTTCGTGCTGTCGGAGCTCCTGAAGCTGTGGGAGCGGGCCAGCTGCCAAGCCCGCGAGGCCCAGCTCTCCCAGGAAGAGGTCTAACAGGCCCACCGGTCTGTGTTTATGTGACTGTGACCTGTTCCCCCGCTCCCTCTTCAGAAGGGCGTTTTATGAAATGTAGCAGTAGGTCACTCACTTGATTCTTGGGAGATCTTCAGGGCTCACAGGGTGGCTGCTCCCAGGGCGTGGACACTCGGAGAGGAGCCTGTTCAGAACAACCCTCTATTTATTAAATCAGTGATTTTTATTAATCACATCCCTGTTATTTGGAACATGGCTTGACACCACCGGCTCCTTGGTAGAGGTAACCAGGACGAGCAGGGCTGGCTGAGGGTGTGGTTAACCCCCAGACAGGCCCCACCTCCTTCCCCTAAAATGGATGTTTTGGGAACTTACATAACTACAAAAGGAGTCTACTACGTGCACTGAGGGATTCAGCCAGGCTTGCTCCTTTGCAAGTGGCCAGGGTGGGAAACTTAGCCATTTTAAGAAACCCACAGCCTGTGTTTACATTAAAAAGATACAACTATATGCTGCCTATATATACATAAAACTGCAAACAAAGAGAAGTACTAAAAGCAGAGGGTGGGAAGAAACCTAGCATGCCAACACTCATCAAAAGAGAGCCGAGTATCAACGTTAACATCTAAGCAGATTGCAGAGCAGACAGACTGCTGGGTAAGGAAGGGATCTTGTGAGGAGGCAGAGGGGAGTGGAAAGGGTGTGACAGTCCTGAACACGGACGTACTCATCAGCAGAGCCCCAAAACGCAGGAAGGTGAAAACAGACCCAACTGCAAGGAAAAGGAAATCCGCCGTTTTAAAGATTTCAACACCCCTCCCTCAACGGCTGACAGGAGATGCAGGCAGGAAACCAACGGGGACATAGACAGGACACGTGAAGCCTGAGTCACCAAAGAGGAGAAAGATGGACTGGATGCAATCAAACATCAAAGCTGCCGTCTGTCAGGGGCAGCATCAGAGTGAGACCGCCCCAGGGAGGGTGAGGGTCCGAGACGCGCTGTCTGCCGAGGGCTGCTGTCCGCAACGGGTAAGCTCCTACAGCTTCAGCAGGTGAGGCAGCTCCACCTGAAAACGGGCACAGGCTCTGGGCAGACGCTTCTCCAAAGCAGCCCGTGACAAGATGCTGTCACTGGTCATCGGGGGGAAGCAAATGCAAACCACAGCAAGATGCCAAATCCCACTCCCTCGGCCGGCGAGAGCAACATGTAAAATGGCGATGAGCACTGGTGAGGATGGTGAGGGCAGGACCCTCGCGTGTCGCCCGCGGCAACGGGCATGGTGGGGCAGTACGGAGGTTCCTCCAAACACGAAGCGTGAGTTACCATCGGACCCAGCAATTCCGCTTGTACGGGTGCCCCAGAGGACTGAAAACATGACCTTGTTTCACAGTGGGACATTCACACACAATACACAGAACAGCGCTTTCCCAACAGCCAAGGGAAACAACCCAGATGCCCACCAGCTGACGAACGGAGCACCAAACAGTCTTTAAAAGGCAGTGATGCTCTGATACACACTACAAAATGCACAAAACTGGGAAACACTGGGTGATGGAGCCAGGTCAAAAGGCCACGCAGTACAGCATTCCCTTGATATGAACTATCCAAGCCCACTGCCGCTGAGTCAGTTCCGACTCACGGCGACCCGTGTGTACAGAGCAGAACTGCCCCACAGGGCTGTCACAGTGGGAATCTTTACAGAAGCAGATGCCAGGCCTGCCTTCTGCAGCACCACTGGGTGGGTTCGATCCATCAACCTTCAGGTTCGGAGCCAACTGAAAACCACGTGTGGCACCCAGCGTTCCTCATGAACTATCTTCAAGAGGTGAATCGACAGAAAGCAGGTCAGCGTTGGCCAGGGGCAGGGACTGGAGAGTGACTGCTGACAGGTGATCAGAGTGCTCTGGGATTCAATGTTGCCATGGTTGCACAGCCCTGTGGCTGTACTACAAACCACTCGGGTGTCCACACTGGCAAGGTGAACCTCATGATCTGTGAACTGGGTCTCAGTTTTAAAAAGTGAGCATACCCATACCAGGGACAAGCACTCAGCCATACAGGGACACGAAGGCCTGCTGCCTGCCACGACATGGGTGACCCTGGAGGACAGGATGCTGAGCAAAATCAGTCGCCAAAGGACAAGTACACAGAGACCAGAGATTACTCGCACTTACCAGGGTGGGAGGGAAGGGGAAATGGGCAATTTCTGCTTGAGGGGCATGGACTTTCTGCTAATAGCGGTGGATAACTTGTGAAAAAGGACAGCGACAGTGGGGGCACATCCACGTCACCGACTTGAACACGGAGGCCCTGGTGCAGGAAGCAACCAGCGAGGCTGGAGGAGACCTGACCACCACCAAGAGCTGAGCCTGGCTGATGCCTGTAGACACCCGACTGCTAAGAGCAGATGAGACAGTCACCGGGATAAAAGTAGGAAGCAGGAAGCAATGACCTTGAACACAACAGCAGAGAAAGACCAAAAGCTAGGTCTTCAAAAGATCCAGAAAAGCTCCATCTTGCTAGAGATTATCCAATAAAAACCAGAAGCCACAAACCACCAGATATACGCCGACAAGACAGGACCGCAACAACAGGGGACCACAGTGAGCACTATGACGCTCATCAGTTCAACAAGGCAGAGGAACAAAGCAATTTCTGGAAAACTACAAATGACTCAAACTCATCAAAGATGAAATAGATCATCTGAGTAGTCCCACAGCTATGGAAAGATACCAAACTTGCAGTTAAAAACGTCCCAAGAAATTGAACCCACACCTGTGGTTTCCAGCCAAACAAAGTACAGGCAAGTGAGTTAAACATTTACCTCAAGTAGACACACACCCTGGAGAGAACAATCATGGGAGAAGGAAGGGCTGCTTATGCACAGGGAGACAGCTCAGGGGGCAGGAGAGTATGGAGGGATGGACACTGGGAAGAGGTAACTATGGGGAGGAAGTGGGAGGGGAGCTGCTGCATTGTAAATTTTGGTCAATGACATGAGACAAAGTATATGTGAACTGCTGTATGAAAAGTGAATTTACTCTGTAAATCTTCACCCAAATCAAAATAAAATAATAATTAAAAAAAAACGTCCCAAGAAATCTCCAGATGGTTCCACCAGTGGCCTTTACAGAACACACGTGGAAGTAACAAGAAGCCCTCATGCTCTCTTCCAGAGAACAAAAGGGAGCAAACACATCCCAGTTCACTTCCTAAGGCCAGCATTCCCCTGATGCCAGGACCAGATTAAACCAGTGCAGCACCCTTCATGAACACAGAGCCACCTGCCCCCAACCAGATGCAGACAGATGGGAGGGAAGGGCACAGGGAGGAAGAAACTACAGAGAGGAGGTTGGAAGAGCTGTAGAGCTATTACGTTGTGGGGAACTGCAAGATGTGCATGAACTGCCGCATGGAAAATGAATTTGCTCTGTAAACTTTCACCCAAATCACAGCAAAAGTTTTAAAAAATAAAAATACAAGCGAATAGGACCCAGCCAAATATGAAAAAAACCAGCTCACGGTGACCACCCCCCCCGAGTATAAGAACAACAACACTGTGAGGTGCCATCAGTCACCAGCTCACGGTGACCCCCCCCCGAGTATAAGAACAACAACACTGTGAGGTGCCGTCAGTCACCCCCAGCTCACGGTGACCCCCCC